TGATAGAGTTTGATGCTCATGGTTAAGAAAAAATCCTTCAGTTCATTCAGGTATAAGTTTAAAAATCAAAAACATACGTTAGTAATGTTAGTAATCGTTAAGTAAGGTAATATCATATAGAAAATTTATTCATTCTGTTTCCTTTTGATAATTAACAGAAAGAGTATGTGTTCTTTGACAGGAAGGCAGGTGCTATTACGTACCTTATTGATTGTATAGTTCAGTCTTGGTGCTAGGCGAGTTTCTATGTTTGACACTAATAAATATGTACAAATACCCTCCACCTTAACAGTAGAGATAAGGATAGCTGAAGGACACTTGAAACCTGCCGTTAAGTCATCGGAAGGGTTTGTATTTCGCACTCGACGTTCGAAATGTAGATCTTAAATGTATTTATCATTCCATTATAGCATTGTATAACGATGGACAACCGCTGAGTATACTCCTGTCATCTTTTCGGTGTAGAGGACACAATAAAAGTGCAGACAAACCAGTAAAGTACAGTTATAGTTAATTAAAATCGTTAAAAAATGTACGACTACCTAACAGTAAAACACATGTGCTTACTGGCACATGAAACACAAACTAAACAGATGAATTCAATGATAAAGAAAGAAAGACTTGGACATAAGGATAAGAAAATATCAGTTTTTTTTTTCTATTTTGGTAAACTAGCCTAAGAAATAACTACATGTATTATTGATCTATCAAAATTTCATGAAAAACTGTTTCCTACAATAAAAGTGATAAAATTGAAAGAACTTGGGACGTATTGGTGTCCATGTTTAATTCAGTAAGCATTCATTTTGCCTATGAATGCCAACTGAACGTTCAAGACTGCTATTTACCATGTTTGGAATATTGAAATATAACATAAACTTAAAAAACAATTAAAAAATAATTAAGCTGAAATTAATGTATGTATGGTACAATATATGATTCTTTTTCAATGCATAGCACAACCATGTGTCTAGGGAGGATTAGTGGCATCCAACACTATAATTATGCTTTCATATTAGTGATGTTGGTAACAATGGTGTAATAGCATTTATAACTGATATGAATGCCATCTGAATGTTGTAGGGCTATAGTATGACAATATTATTTGCTGGTTCAAACACGATAATGGGGACATTTGTTTCTACTCAAGGATGGTACATAATGTATATGTGTTTCATTTTCTATCAGAGAACAGATTAGTCCGTTTCTATTGTAGGACGGTATGTTTATGTTCTGTAAGATAATAAGTTGCTTCATTTTGGAGTTTTATCCATACCTGAACAGCAAAGCTGACTCATTAGTGAGTTGGTATTATTTTATATATGAGGTAGATCAGTTGCATTAGTAAGATGATAATATATCGTTCACATTGAAAGTGTTCATTAGGAAAAGGCTAAGTAGCTAAAAGAGCCGTGGGTAGGCTGTACAACACTTGAAAAATCATGACAGGGTGTGTTTTCTATTAAACTGTTTTTTTAGATTTTTTTTTCTATATGATTGGTAAAAACGAATTGTAAAAGTCGTTATATTTACTTTTCTTATATGTTAGATTTTGCACATTTATTGAACAACAAGTTGTTAATATATACAGGCAATTGAGTTGTTTACCGAAATAACGATGCAAGTGTTCATCTGCTCGAAGAAAGAACTTCAATCAAGGTAATTAAAATGACATAAGACGTGAGTCGAACTAATACATTATTACACATATGAAGGAATATAATTGCCAAAATCCATTAAATTGCGGTCAATGTTCGGAAATTGTGAAACCCTATTTATGGTTATGTCGGAGATAGACAAAACATTGCACAAATGTATTACAGATATTCTCAAGAATGAATACAAAGTTCAACACAAACATCAGTTCTATTGTGTGTTTTCCTTTGGATTTGAACCTCATGTTTAACATCTCTTGTCGAGAATAAAACTTTCAGCATATTTACACAAACATTAAAAAGTATTTATTACTGAGAAAATTGTATTTGAATATATCAAAATAAAACTGGGCTAGTGGTTGTTAGGAGTTGACCTTACCGACACACCTGTGCACAGAAAACCATGCATTCCATTGGTTAAATATTGATCAAAGGACAATAATCATCGGTTTGATTTTTTATGAAACTCAAGCCTTCAATTACGCTGGATGAGTGTTTGTTTGAAACACATGAAGTTACCTTGACATTGCTATACAGGGCCTGACATTACTGTTAAGTGGACTGGTGTTATCTCTGTAGTTACACAACGTGTGGAAAGACCCTATGGTTAGAGTGCACACAATCAAATATATGTTATACCTGTAAAATATTTACTTATTTGCTTACATTGAACATAATATGAACAATGACACTGTAATATTGGACCTATGATTTAAGACATCTTTGTAAAGAAGGCTTGATTGGCAGATGTGCAAAAGGTGAGAAAATTGATTTACCGTTTGCAGTTGGTTTCAGACTCTGATTTGTTTACATCCCCTTTTTATGAGTGTGTGTGGTATGTATGTGGCCCTAGCATCCCATCCTGTAGATAAGCCCCGCCTCCCTCCTCCCCCTCCCTAATTGCTGTCCGGTGGGATTTTAAACTAGGTCGTCCTTGGCCTTTAATGTGAGGTAGATTAATCGTATCCGAAGGGAGTGGGACTGTGTATTCATCTTTTATCACATAGCCACAAAAATAAAAAAAATCCCAGAATGCCACCCACGACATTTCTGTTGTCTGCACATACTTTCATTATGTCGCATTCATGTTTGAAATTTAAGATCAATTATTAATTCATTTTGAATGTTATAACATGGAATAGGTATGACAAAGGATGAAGGTACCTTATACTCTATACGTATGATATGAGTAGAGTTAAGTACGTGTCCCTTACACTGTTAGTTGAGGGTACATACTATCTTTCACATTATACATGTGATTTGTTTTATAATTAATGATACATGTACCTTGCATTCTTTATCTGTGATATGAGTATACGCTACCTTTCGCTGTTTATCTGCGACGTGTAAGAGCTAAGGATACATTTTACCTTACACATTACATTATACCTGTGATTTGTTATTGTGTGGAGTAGAGATTTATAGTTAGTTTTATATGTACCTTACACTTTATAGCTGTGATTTGAGTCGGTGAAAAGAGAGATGATATCGTTCAATTATGTCTATGATGTGATAGAGCTAAGGATACATGTTATCTGAACAGACATTGTTTCAGAAGGTGAAACATGTGTGAATCGATTTTAGGGATGGTGCTATCACGAAAAGTATCAAACTTTGTCTTGTACCAGGGTATCCAAAGGCATGAACACTTAAAGGGAACCTAAAATGAGGGCCCCCTTACAGAACAATTGTGAATGGTATTGAATCTACAATAGAGACATTACAGGGGGTTACAGAACGTGAACTAAATCAGTGTGTCACAGGTACACGAAGCAATTATCGTCCTATGAAAAATGTTCTTGGGAAATATGAAAGAGAAAATATAGTACTGTTTCAACAATAATGTGTGGACCAGTTGTAATTTTCCACGATTTTGCCCCTAGCATCACCTATGAGCCCTAAAAGGACAAACAGGTTAATGGACTCATTTTTTTTATTATTACATAAATATTTTTTATAATGGACTCATTTTGAGTATGTTGTATCTATTAGCAAGTTTGAAAGGTACAATCATTGGAACATTAACCTATGAGAAAGGCTTATTTGTCAGATTCACTAAAGTTGTTCATTATCGAAGCGGAAGTGGACATACGTCATTCTGCAAATGAGTTCTTAGATACTCGGGTGAACGTCACAGATTATTACATTATTGTACAAGGAAAACATCGGTTATCACCAATTAGGAATATGTGTTGAGGGTTTCGTAGTTTTGAAAGTTTTGTGTGAGGAGATTTCTGTCATAGTGAGGCAGCTTAAATCCTTTTATTCAACAGTTATTGTGACATTCTATAAAAAAGAGCATTACATTTTGTCACGAAAACACCTTAGGTATTAGAAAAGTGCATATAACCTTTATTTAGCATAGGTAGTTTGACATTCCATAAAAGAGAGTGCTAAAACACCTAGGTTATTAAAAGAGTAATTCTAAACACGAGAATCGCCGCGTGACTTGTGTACTCATAAACATGAAATGACCGCGCACCCTATATATTAACATCGTTGTTCATTTTAAAAGTAAGATATTATAAATAATCCTTTTGATGTATGACTTACTGACGTTCTGTGTCTGTCAAATGGCCCTTTACAACAACATGTGGTTTAAGCCATGTGTAAGCCATGTATACGTATAACACTTAAACGGAGGGGCTGTATTGCCACAAATATCGTTTTGTGTTTCATCACTTACGATTTATGATATATATCAAACCCGCCGTTCATGACACCCTTCAGACGCTCAGAATTTTATATCGCACGTTCAAATGATTTACCAGCCATAACCAGTGTCATATACGTTTTACTGTTGGCAGACAAGTATTCAGTCAGGTCAACTGTTTCCAAGGCGTAGCGTTTAGCTACAATGAAAAATTATTTTCCGATATAGAAATTAACATTCATAGTTAAGCAACGTAACACGCCTTCTTAAACAGGACTTACTTTCATCCAATTCTTATCTCCAGCACACCCTGTGACACCACTATTACGGCTTTACATTGTATGTTTTGTAAGAAAGTTTGTCCTACAAACCAAACATACTTGTTTTCTGTATATATTATCAACCTATATCTGTTACATTTATTTGCCATTTTATATTTACTGTGAAATCATTAATTTTCGTTGGTTGTTTTATTTCGTCGAATCGGTTGTATTCTTCATTCTCGAGTGAGTACTCGGAACCCAAGAATTCATGTACCTAAGAAATGGTGTTGTCGGATGACAACGAAATTTTAACCCCATGAACATATATGATTTCACAGTATATTATTTGAGGAGATACTCATTTGACCTATATGAAACACAATACCGAGCTTCGTTTTAAGTTGATGTCTATTTAATGTTGAAATCACGATGTCTGTTCCAGTCTCTCTGCAGTCTGAGCGAAAATCAGACAGTAAATTACATTTTATTTATTTATTGTCTTACTGTGGGTACAACAGATACATTTGTGTATGACATATATGCCAGTTTTCTTTATAACTCTCTCCTCGCAAAAATTGAACAGATCAGTATAAGGCTGATATTCGTGTTAAATGACCATAGGTGCATGTATTACACATGAACAAACATCGGTGGTAAGGGATTTTTCAAGCTATTTATCCCGAAGTTGTCCATAATCCGATGCACACATTACTAAGATTTGAAAAAAGGGTACTTGTTGGTGACATTATTGTGAAATCAATGGTTATATCACTTTATTATGGTTATGTTAAAGTCTGTTCCACGGCACATATTTATCAGTTGTAAGCGGTTATTGTTGATTACATGTAGGACTTCATTCAACAGATGTTAAAGTTAGAAGCTTACTAGATTGATATCCTTAAACATTTCAAAGTCATTTATGGAATTGTAAAGCTGACCATATTTTAAAAGTCTTTTCCAGTAAACCTGCTAACTCGTTGTAATGTTATAAAAGGCTGACACTCTGTTGGTCTTGTGAAGGGTCATCATGAAAAAAATAAACAAACATTAAACAAACAAAAACGTGATCAATCTAATTACGTTTATAAAAAGGTGATTTCCTTATGGCCGAATTACTTTTTTAAAATGTAAATCAAGAACAATAGAGAAATAAAATGCTAAGTAATGGACGTTTCAATACTCTGGATGAAGCAAATAGTCAGCCATGTTACAGGAAATTGTACTGAATGACCTACAGAACATCTAACTTATGCATGTATATAAAGAAAAAACAGAAAACAAGACTACACCCTAAGACCACAGCGATGTAATTACAATTATTACAATTGCGTCATCCACAGCTGTGTCAACAGAACTATAGTGCAGAGTAAATTTAGAAGTCATAAAATCGTTGATCAAAAAGATTAGATACATTATAAAACATTCGTGTTGTTCTGGATTTAAAGCTTCGACACTTTTGTGCACTTATCTGGAAATAAGTAAGTGCTACATTAATTCGATTACAGAAAGTACAAACATATTAGATAGGAGTAAATGTTAGACCAATTACTTGATTTTATATTTTGATATTTGACACTAATTGATGATACATCAAACGTTGTGCGATTTGTCCTTTTCACTATCCTCATCCAAGCATAGGTTTTAGTCACTTAACCACGGATAGTACAATGTCTACCGTAATGTCTTAAGTTAAGTGACTGAGTCAAATATCAAGTGTCGCAGTAAAAAGGGACTTGTTGTAGGGCAGATATGGTGTAGAGTGTTCATATAAACTGGAGCGAGTCAGCTGACATACAAGTACTTTGTTTGTGGTAAATACAGTAAGTTATGACAACTTAACATTGATTCTGTAAATTCCTTACCTTTTTCGAGAATAGTCTTAAAGAAATTATATTGCTAATTTAAATGCGTATTCCATTTGTTCACAACTTTCAATAGGGGCATTTAGCAGTTGTTGTTTACATAAGAGGGCGTTCCGTGTTATTGAGTTAAGTGCGTTCCGTTAAATATACTTTTTGCTACGTAATATGGTCGGATGGTCCGGATGCGTTGTCCTTCGAATAAACATGACAATGTACAGTTATTGGTTAATTAACTTTTATCTTCAAGATTTGCAACCTGCTCCGATTGCTTCAGTGTTATCATACCTCCGACGTAAACATTCACCATTAGTAAGAAACACATTTATGAAAAAGTTATAAAATCCGATTAGTCGGGTGGCGCAGGATAACGTACTTGCCTTTTTATCAAGACGTGCGGAGTTCGATTCCCTGATCGGACGTTAAAAAGTATGGGTTACTTGCCCGACCAAGTGGCTTTTCTCCGTGTACATCGGTTTCTTCCTACATTTAGAACCCGTGAGCGCCAACATTATGTCATTTTTTTGTGTAAAATAAGTCTTAAGCTGATGACGCAGGATTTGTTACACATACCAAATGTCGTGGTTTAAGTGTGTCATGTAAAACATGTTTAAAAAAATATATTTTCAAACTCATTTATTAACATGTTCATGACTTATGTAATTGATGATTTGAAGGGTAAAAAAACTAAAGATTCTATTTAAAAGTATAATATTTGAATGGGGTTAGTCGTTTACAATAGGTTTTCGTAGTATTAACCACATCATTGTATTTCATAATACAAACACAGCGAAAAAAGGCTTAGCTGTATTAAAAACAAAAATTAAAAGTTCAACTTATGAGCATTGGTTAATAAATTTATCACATAATCCACCTATTTTACTATGCCATACGGCCATATCATAAATATGGTAATACACACTTGTAATAAAACGTTAAGGTATCGCTTATGGTCAAATCCGTGAGAACATATTCCTTCGCCGCTATAGTTACTACTTTTAATTACAAAGGGTGCTGCATTTTTCTGATAAATTTAATTTTGTTTTGCTGTCAATTGAAATTGAAATGTTTATTTAATCATTAGTAATTTTTATTGCATTAAATACTGGTCACTATTAAAAAACCAATCTGAACTACTTTGCACTGCGCGGAACGATAAAACTATGGTCGGAGTACTTTGGTTTTTATCTAAATAGAGTAAGCTGATAACAAATAAATGACTTTCTTTCTTCGCATTATGAATGGTATATGATAAATAGAATCTAACATTTGTGTCCATGTCATATTGAATTTATTGAACTCGTTTAATAAGATTGATATGACATGGACACTTATGTAAAATCCCTTATGCATTGCTTATATATCCTATTACGTGTGTATTTATTTATCAACATAGCGGGGATCGTCGTGACTAGTAGTTGAAAGGGAGTTGAGGAATTTCGTTTCAATTTAAGTGTTAATCCTATCAACCCGTACGACAGGAGTGGCATGTTTACCCCTGCATTGCTCTCGTGAATATGGTGATGGTATTTGTTGTTTTAACATAGCTTAGCAACAGTATTGTCTGTGAAGGGGATACCACCTGTCTGGTATCCTCTAACTTACGTTTGTCTTATAAGTTGTAATTATTCATACACTTAAAGGCCATCCTTGCCCTAAATGACTACATAACCAAACAATATACAAGTGCATGCCAATCACCAGGTACAGAACTGCTCAAAAATAAATACCGCTTTACAGGTTATTTGCAATTTAGCAAGTACCTGATTGTCAGACTACGGTTCTCCGTACACAAGAATAAAGGGCTATCGACGCACTCGGTATTCCTTATTACAAAGCGAATTCAGAACCTCTTGAACTGCTTTACACAGAACCTGAATCTCAAGATAGTCTGTACACTTCACGTTGATATTGTCTACTCATCTTAAAAGTTGGGAACGAAAAACAACCTTCTTTCATCCACATGTTGATTTTCCTTTTGTTTTATTGAAAAATGGAATCAATATATTAAGTTTTCTTTTTATTTCTGTATTTTCATCGTTCATTATTTTTTCATAGAAATACAACTATGGCATAGATTTTACTCTCTGATTTGAAAAGCTACGAGATCAAAATTTAGTATAAATGCAGAAATAATTTATCTTAAGGGAATTATTTTATCAGCATTTGCTGTAACATATTTCTCGAAAACAGTACATTTCAGTGTAACACATTCAGTATTGGACATGCTGTATTGGCGTGTTATCATACATATATATCATAACCAAACTGTGTCTATATCAACATAAGTTGTTCAATATAACTATACCAAAAATATGCATGGTACATAATATTAAATGACTCTTTCATGCCAAGGGGTGTAGGCTAAGGAAATTCCACCCGAGGGGTTTTCAAATTTGGTAAAACTCGAGGCTCGTGTTTTGCAACTTAAGAATATGTTATCCACAAGAGGGTGAGAGATAAGTATTAATCTTTTCACGGGTCAATTAATGTACATCACGGGCAAACATGGGGGAAAATCATTACTAACGAACTACGAATGATGTGTTCTTTTATGATGTTAGGTATGGATGCATTTGCCTCAAGGCGTATTAAGGTACAAAACTTAAAAACAAATGCCTCAATAAAATACAATTAGCCCTTCAACTCTCATCAGGCATGCGGACACACACACACACCATCGCGCGCAACCACACGCTCACACCATCGTACAAGTGCAAGGATGCAAGCAGGCCAAGGCACGAGATGCTGGTTACATTATCTACTCAATTCCAATAAAACAAGCGTTTATATATTTGTAAATACAGTTACGCTTACAAAAAGATTTTTCAAATCCAATCTCTTGTGCAAATACAAACATAAAACAACACTTCGGGACGCGTACCTCCGGCAGGGGATACATAACGTAGTTAGCTCCCCTGCTATTTTAGAAGGTAGCACAACACGGTTATAAACATATGCAATTATATTGACTTTATAGTACCATTATTGTTATGAACTCATTTGAAGTGACTGTCATAATGAAAGAACAGATGGATGAATTAATTAAAATGAATGTATATATGAAAGAGAGCTATCTTGCATGAGGACAATATTATTGTAAGAAGACTGAAACCAGGGCCCCAATCCTGGCAGTATTCCAACAAAATATTGCGGGACAATAAAATTAATTGCTAAAACAAAACAAAAAACAAAAAACCCCACCATATTTGTTAATTTGTTGAGAGCAAATGTTATTCAATAGAAGTAGCACTATTGATGACTTGGCTTCCCTGGGGTCAAGTTGTCTCCCCTTTTTAAAATCTTTACTCTTTAATATATTCCTTCTTTCACTATAATCACTTCATCTTCCAGGAAACTTGATGTCACAAATATACTTAATGACTTACTTATTTCATTTCGCTGATGTCTGAATGACCTATTCAACAACATTACTTCACGACTTGGCGTCAACGATAAGTTCAAACATAAATATCCCAAATATATATTTATGATTTAATTAAATATTTTACAAAATCCTTGAATTACTTATTCAAACATTTAATTTCCTGACTTTGCTTAAAAAAATATCTAAATGTTTTAATTCCTAGGAATCAGGAATATATTTCATTATGAGATTTTGAATGTTATATCTAAAGAATGAACGTTGGATAAAACTACGGGTTTTATAATCATTATAATGAGAAACAATATTTGTCATTGTGCGATACAAAATGTATGAATATTGAAAGTTTTGTTTATGCTCATCGAAAACATTATTGCTTCTTTTGATCTTTTTGTCCCTATCCCGATCATCTCTTTAATCATTTCACATTAGTTTTATTTGACATAGATTTACATACAGGGTCTCGTCGATGAAGCGAAAAAACAATTATCCTTCCTAAATACCTGGTATATTTTCTCTTTCTATTTTTCAATGCTCTCCGTGTAAAACTTTGTTTACATTGTGATTTCATCAATAATTTATTCCAACACTTATTCTGATACCTCATTTCAGGAATGTGCTTCAGTGATTTATTTAAGTATTAGAAATATCTCCATATCATTTAATTAGAATGTATGCATGTTTAAACTGTTGAAATACGTAAACACCCATTCACCGACCAGTTGAGATCGCGAATAAAAAAAAAATTAACAGTGAAGCGCTTTGCATCTTTGTTTTGCATTTGAAACATTCGATATTAATCTTTAGCCAATGTAATTAATTGCAAGCATATGCAATTGATATTTGCTATTTATTGACAGAACGCACTGCATTAAAAATATATATGTCGGATAAAGTTCACCCAAAACAGGACAATTTAACCCAACTTAAACCGTTTTTGTGACGTTAATACCAAATATGTAAAGTACTATCAACTCAAAATATATTGCAACTATTGATATTACTGTAGACTTTTTGTTTACGTAATTTTCAAAATATAGATCCATAAAAAAACACATCTTGCGATACCTTTAATAAATGTTATTTGTGCGAAGTCAATGGAAACAAATAATAATTAAATAAATTACTCTGGTTATCCATTGCCAAACGAAAACGTTTCAGCTGCAGCCCCCGTTTGGGTCACGCCCTCCACATTGACCACCATCCCCATCAGTGAGAACTCGGGCACTGCTGTCTCTATCTACCAGCTGACGGCCACTGACGCGGATAGTGACCCCATAACTTACTCGATATCATCCGGTTCGGGTTTCAGCCTCGTCGGGGATGTAGTCTATACCAATACAGCGTATGACTACGAAACAACAACGTCATATGCGTTACAGTTCAGGTAAGTACGATGTGCATGCCCTGACTAATTGATAGAACGTATAAGGAGTCTAAATCTAAAGTATCTAATGTAAGTCTAATGTCACATACCGTAAGACGAACATTGAAGAATCCTTACAACTATACGTGTTCCTCTATGGTTTAAAAATATCGATATATATATTTAACATTTGACAATTTTTTGCAGTGCATCTGATGGCACCAACACCGTGACAAGTCTTATATTGACGATAAGTATAACAGACTACAACGATAACACACCCACATTTAGTCCTGCCATCTACTCCAAAAGTATCCCAGAGGCATCCGCTTCAGGTACGTAATATCTAAGAGGGATCCCCTCAAGTACGTAGTATCCCAGAGAGATCCGCTTCAGGTACGCAGTGTCCAAGATATATAAGCTTCAGGTGTGTTGTGCCTCAGAAGTATCAGCTTCATGTACATGTACGTAGTATCCCAGAGAGATCCGCCTCAGGTACGTAGTATACCAGAGAGATCCGCCTCAGGTACGTAGTATCCCAGAGAGATCCGCCTCAGGTACGTAGTATCCCAGAGAGATTCGCCTCAGGTACGTAGTATCCTAGACATGTTAGGCCACGGGACCGTACTATCTCAAAGGAATCTACAGACACTATAAGTATCCTAGTGGAATCCGCCTCAAGTACGTAGTATTCCTGAGGGATCCGCTTCAGATACATAGTATCCCAGTGGAAATATGCATAACAAAAAGGAATATTGCTCATATTCCTTGCATAGTACAAGGCAAGTTTATCTTTGAAAACGTGTTAAAGTTGGAATGTTTTAGATGAATAGCCAATAAACGTGCTCGTGGTTGGTCGGGAAATAATAAATGCACGCACATGGATTATGGTTCAATATTAAATGGTTATTAACCAATGAAGTGTTGTTACATTGTTTGCGTGATAGAATAGGTATACGTTTACCTCGTCTTAATAACTGCGTGTCTGATTGCATGATACTTGTGTCCTCACGCGCTCGAGTTTCCCCGATCATATTTCCTTTATTTGGAGCTTCTCCATAACAATATGCAAGAACCACCACAACAGTGTTCCGAATGTCTGAAGCAGACTACACCTGATAATCTATAGGGTTATTGCATTATTGCGATAAACATGTAATACAATATGTATTAACCTTATGGTAGGAGAACACGTTTAACGTTATCAATCTCAACAAAGAAATTTGTTTCTGTACAACAACAGCAATACTTTCTGTATAGTATATTCAAACGGATATAACATCTGGTTCGCAGGAACATCCATTGCTGCCTTGACCTGTACTGATGCTGACAGCGGTACTAACGGAAACTGTGCTCTCAGTATACAGAGCGGGGACGACGCCTCAGCCAAGTTTACTATTTCCGGTACCACTCTAGAAACAACGACAACCGCCACGGACTACGAGACGCTCTCCTCACAGAATTATATGTACAGCCTCGTTGTCATAGCTACGGACACGGCATCTTCCGGTGCCGGGTCAGATTTAACCGGAACTGCCTATGTTTACGTTACAATCACCGGTACAAATGACAACACTCCTGTGATATCGGGCACAACTCCTTCAACCATATCCGTAAGTATGATTGTACATGCGTTGTCTGTCAATTGTGCTGTGATCTATATTGTGCCGTAAATGACGATATTTTCGTACTTGTATGCTTTTTTTTACCGTTATATGAAATCAATGTATAGGACAACAAAATAATCACCGTCTCTTTACCAAGATAAAATTCGACGTAAAGGCTCTAGATTACACAAAAATCACCGCCTACTTACCCGAATGGAAAATCAATCAAAACTTCTAAGTAAGATGAAGGATTAACATTTTTAGGGAAAGATATATTATTTGTATTGCTCTTCGGAAAGATTTTTTTCTTAGAAAGCTGTTATGTTCAGTCTCGGAGACAATCATAAAAACATAGCTTTTGCACTGTTTGTCACGATATTCATAAGGTCACCCAATTCATAATAAATATTATTTTAATAATTTTAAAAACAACTGCGGAAAGGATATTCTTAAAAAGTGATTAAAATAAACGTTGCAATGATCTTCGTTTAAAAGTATTTTAACCATGTTTATCCCAGACAAAAGCCTCATCGGTGTGCTCATTCATACCTCTCTCTTTTAATCATTAGTAATGAAGTGATTATTACTGATAAAGTGTAATTGTATTTGTACACCAGGTTTCCGAGAACAGCGCCGTGGGAACCACAGTGGCAACTGTACAGGCGAGTGACGCTGATGATGGCGACGACGGGGTGCTCACCTACAGCATTATTGGTATGTAAAAGGGTGATAAATGTCCTGCTGTACCGGCGGTGCACCTGGAATTTTTCACACTTGATTTGCATTAAAATGTTCCAGTATATTATCTTGCGCCTTCTGTATGTAAAACATCAATATTTTGATTTTGTACATTATGAGTTTGGTCTTATTTGATATTTCTTTGTTTAATAGACAACCAAAAGTTAAGTCCTTGATCAATTCGCATGAGCATATCGTCACTGTTATGTCCGTCCGTCCGTCTGTCTGTCTGTCAAACTCATACTTTTGTTATATCCTATGATAACGGTTACAGAATACAACATAACTATACGACGGCTGGTACACATTCAGTGCACACGGACAATAACCCTTGCTTTCAGCTTAGAATTAAGGTATCCCTCTTTTATATAATCCATCGCATGCTTCAATAAACAAGAAAACTTCTGCACACAAATCATACCTTTTGTTACGCAGGATCAAAAGTCAGCCCCTCCTTTATTTAAGATTTGTTATATTCCGTTCCAAGGTGCGCATTAGCGCAACTTAGAGCATACGATCATACCTGTTAAATCGATTATTTTTAATCTTTATATTTACGTTCGAAACAACATAAACAATATTGTATTCTATCGTTCGTGGTGTTCTTAAGTTGTTCAAATACATTTTAAAGCAAACTCTTTTACCAGACGGCGAACGTCATTAACGTGTATTAGTTCTAGCTGGAAATGAACTATAACATTTTTTTGTTTATTTTAAGGACTGTAAATTTATTTGTAATTATATAATTATATATATTATACAAAGTGATGAGCGGTGTACAGGTATAACGACTTCTACTTCTACTGTCAGTAGCTGTCGATTTCCGGAGTTAAGTATATTTCGTATTGTTTTATTTACATTCATCCATACATTTATATGTATTGTAACTGACAAAACAATTAAGTTATAATCTGTTTGATCGAGACAAAATGAATTATATGTATAATTTAGGTGGAAATTCCGAGGCACGGTTCGGTATAGGAACTACGACAGGAGAGATATATCTGACGCTGGCTCTAGACTATGAGACAACGACGCCGTACTCCCTCACCGTACAGGCTACTGACGGTGGTTCACCAACAGCCAGCGCCACCTCGGTAGTCACCGTTACAGTCACCGACGTCAACGACAACACTCCGGCCTGTCCCTCCTCAACCTACATCTACAGTGTAGCAGAAACAGCTTCGTCAGGGGTGGGTACACGGGCGCTAAAAGAAAACTAAGGAACGATCAATGTTTCACTTTTTATTTGTCCCTTATTTACATTGGAAGTTATATTATTTATTTTGACTATGCAAATGTTCCGTTTCCAGCATTTTGCGCAATGAATTCCTGATGTCTATTTATGAATCATATTGAGTGATGTTAAAAACAGAAGCATTAACCAGAAAAATATAATCCATTGTTTCTTTATATACATTTTATGTACATGTATACGTCATGGTTGTAAGATTTAGGACTTTGTTACCGCGGGTTGCTATTGACTGACCACCGATCTCATTGTTCACACAGACGACCGTGACCACACTAGCTTGTACTGATGCCGATGGAAATTCTCTGACGTACACAATAACTTCTGGCAATTCCGAGGGATGTTTTAGTGTGACAGGCGCTGTGCTGACCACTTCCTGTGGTACGTACAATGATAAAGTCATTCTTCATATAGATTTACTCGAAAGATAAGCTTTAAGATTCGTTAGCATGAATTTACATAATACCATTTTTGAGCAATGTTCTGATAAATATATCTTTTACGAAAACTAAAAAAAAAAAAACCTTGTCTAACGGGCTCCAAGGGTAACAAATCGTTCCTACTGTATCATAATGTTGTAATTCACTACCTCCTCATTGCAGCACTTGACTATGACACCGGAAGTCAGTCTTACACTCTTGCTATCGATGTCAGTGACGGAACCACCTCTAGCTCGGTTACTGTGTACATAAGCCTCACTGCAGAAAACGACAACATTCCAACATTTACTTCTAATCCCACCGTCAGTCTCGCGGAGGGTACGAGTGTTGGCACAGTTGTTACCACATATACTGCCACAGACGGTGACCTTTCTCCTCACAACGTTGTTTCCTATGCTATTACGACAGGTAATATTCCTTATTTACGTTTTGTCTTATCAAATTTCCAAGTATCATGTTAAAAAACCTGACAAGAATTTACCGCAAATTCAAAACGTAATAAAAACGTTAAACCTCCTAATACTGATTTTTTTTGTCCAGCAACATTTTGACATCACAAAAGAGTTCTAAGGTGCAACGAATAAGTCTTGGCAAGGAACTGTCAAGAAATGGGGGAAAGTGTAAGTAATGTTAATTGAAACAACCTGTTTTATAATGTTGATACATTAGATATATAAGGTACGTTAGCAGTTTAGGAGGTGGCAAATACAACAAGGGTCATTACATCCGGCTTTTACTGGAGACACAGAGTGACAACAACAAGAACGTAAACCAAACGAATAACATTCTAACACGAACATGTCCCCGCACTTTACCAGGTTTTCCGGAGCTGGAAACGTTACGTTCCACATTAGTCACATTTAAGTATGTTTCGTGTCAAAAGCAGAAACCTTTTTTTGGTAACCAATGATCTAAGAACTAGGGAACAAAGTCTATGGAATAAGGCTTAGCAGTTCACTGATCAACAGGACGAATATGCCTACTTTGGTAAATAAAACTGCTTTGAAATAGCGAGTACACAGCGCGATGGTGAACGGAAAATCATTACGTCATTCATTTAATCCGGAAGTAAGATGATCAGACCGTAGTTTAAGAAACTCCCGTAGTATTTTTAAAGTCTATTTAGGGAGAATAAATCAGAAAAAGAAAGTTCTTTTAATTCGTGTTAATCAAGGATAAACATGAAAAATATATCTGAACATAAAATTTAAGGATTCGGGAATTATATAATTTTTTGTTCCTTATTAGCCGTTGTATCTATTATTTTGTAAGAACACGATCCTAGATTGGCCGGAAGTGATGCACAGTCTGCCCGAATAAGAAAACCAATCATATGTTTTAAAACAGTCTTAAACTTGTGTCGACATATTTTGACTGTGAAAATTACAGTGCGCACAGATCTTCTTGCTGTTTTAACAATTCACTCTCTCTCATTGTGTAGCTTTATATAGTTATATACGGGTATAGCTTGTATAATTGATTTTGAAAAGAAATACCTTGCACGTGTACTACAATGATGTTATATCCAGAAGAAATTTTACCGTACGCATTATGATGTACAAGTTCGTTTCATTTTGCACATGCGTTGTTTAACAATGTGTTTTTGTTTCTTTCTAGACAATGGTTTATGTATACCCATGGCAGACTTGTGATATGTATCTGTCACATTGGAATAGGTTAATATCATGCAACTTCTTTTGACAACTCCTATGTTAACAAGATATCACCAAACAGTATCAGCTATATAAACAGCGGTCATGACAGTGTATTGTTGTTTCAGTGACTAACAGTGGTGGTTCTAGTCTCTTTGCGATCGAGTCGACTTCCGGGAGTATACAGTTGGTTAGCGCTTTGGATTACGAAACCCAGACTACGTATGACATAACAGTAGAAGCAACTGATGGAGGTGGCACCGTGGTAAGTTGTTTATGTATTTTGTATCATAACAAGACAATTGTAACCTCACGATACTTGCAAACCAAGAAAAATCATCCTGAAAATGTTTCCTTTAAATTGTTGTAAGCGATGCAATAAATGTATACATTGTAGGTATGAATCTTGCTGTCATGTGAGGCTCTGAAACGTGACATTATAACCTCAATGTGAAAATGATATATTAATATTATCATTTGAATCGGAAAAAAGAAAAACAACAAATATCGTCTTACGAATGTTGTAATACAAATGTAACAAAAAACATAAGGAAACCCTGATCTTTATCGATAAATTTTTACGTGTAACTTCGCACGAAACTGCACTTACAAAATACGGTTTTATTTTAAAATACGCATTTGGAAAATTTATTTTATTCCTTCAATGTCAATTTTCAAAATCATTTCATGTTAAAGAGTTAACCAGTACGTAGGGATATAATAACTACCCTTAGGTGTAGAATGAAAGGATCGATCAGCCTCAAATACATGGACAAGAATGGCATTTAATTTGAGTTTTTTCCTTAGGTTTCAAATCTTTGTGATACATTATAACAAAAAGCTATATATCCTTTCTTCAGTCCATTGCCATAGCCCATGTAAGCATTCTTACAATATATACCATTGCTTTACAGGCAACAGGGACGGTGACAATCTCGGTGACAAATGTCAACGACAATTCTCCAATATGCAATCCTTCTACATATACAGCCACTGTATCAGAGACGTCTGCTACAGGAACAACGGTACGGTATCGTATTTGACATGTATAATCTTACCATGTAAAGATTATGATGATTTTACGTACAAAATGCAAAACGTTAACCCGAATATAGATATATGGTTTCTTCATGTGCATTTTACATGAAAAATTAGGATATTGTTAACATAAGATGTCTGCAGTTTAAACATATTATATTTCCCTATTAAAAGCAAAAGGATTGGGTATAAGTTTCAAAGACATTACATAAGATATAAAAAAAATCAAACATATTTCCATCACAGGTAACCACACTGGCCTGTACCGACGATGACACATCTGACACTGTGTCCTATTTATTCGTCAGTGGAAATACTGGTACCGACTTTGCTTTAACCACCACGGGTGAAATAACCCTATCTAACGGTAAGTATATAATACTTATGTTTTAAACTATGAACTGTTCTATTTGTTTGAAAACGACACCAAGAAAAGATACAACAGTCATGAAAGATACGAAATAATGAACATTTCAAAAACAGGAAAAATATGTGTTAAGAAGGGTAATCAAGTATAACATCACGTCTCACTCACATCTTGATTTTGTTTGTAAAACCCTGGCTATTCATTACAGATAGGTATTACAATGCATACATAGTATACTATTCTGCGCACGGAGATATCACAAATTAGAAAAAAAGCAATATATTTTTGACGACATCATCATTTTATTTTTTATTCTTAAAATTATCGGTCTTTGACAATGTTTTGACTATGTCTGCTTAAGATTCATATATTGACATGCATGCCTCCATCATAAGCTTCCCTTCGTTTACCATAACAGCCTTTCCTGTATATGCTGCTGAAGAGTCTTTTTTATGTTCAATGTTTTCTACGTGAGAAACAATAGTTTACGTTGAAGAACTCTTTAGGGTCATCACCATAAGGAGATTTCAGTGTCATCCACCATCATGTTACATGTAACTGTATCTTAGATGTTAATATATCAAGTGACCTAAATTCATTTCTTGGGATAATGGGAGGCAAAATAACGGGTCCTTCATGTACAATGTACATGAGGTGAAGTAATCGTTAACCTTCCGGAACAGCTGGTTTATTTCCGACGTTATTGCGGAAGTTCATGATGTCTTTTTGTATTTTATTTTATTTTTGTTACCTTATTCCCAATGTTGTTCCTGTACCAACTTTGAGTTCTTATTCTGACTTTTTTTAATGCCGTGGTACCCTTTCCCAGTTTTAATGTCGTAGTACCTTTTCCCAGTTTTAATGTCGTGGTACCCTTTCCCAGTTTCAATGTCGTGGTACCCTTTCCCTGTTTCAATGTCGTGGTACCCTTTCCCAGTTTTCCTTCCTGTTGCTTCATGGACATTTTTCAAAACACTTTTTTTTTCTGAAATAAGAATTTGTAAAATATATATGTTTTCTTTTATGGTAACGAAGCCCTCGACTATGACGCTGGGACGCAGTCGTACACCCTATTAGCCAGTGCTTCTGATGGTACAACCTCAGTCACAACTACTATAGCCGTCACAGTCGTGGCCGAAAACGAGGCCACACCCGCATTCGCCTCAAACCCAACCACAACACTGGCGGAGGACGCCGTGGTCGGAACTGCTATCACAACGTACACAGCAGTGGACAACGACGCGTCACCCCACGACATTGTCAGCTATGACATCACGGCAGGTAAAATTATATAATTTAATGAAGAAACATAAAATAAAGCGACCAGGAGAGCATGCCTCGATCAATAAAAATGTTAGGTCCAAAAATTGAAATCGCTAAATTTTAATCATTTGTTGAATACATACTTAAAACAAGTTAACAGAGTAAAACGGGAATCTGTGTGCGGCAGTGGTTATAATATAATTAGAAATTGAACAAATGCATCAATGAACATTTTTAATTTTGTATCAATAAATTAAACGGTACTAACAGCGAAAACATTAACATTCCTATCATTACTCGAACATTTAATCTATATTATATTAATTGTGCATACAAATCGACTTTAGTACAAAATGCTTATAAAGATTTAAAAAACATACGTATATTTTTTTATTTGAATGTATTGTTGCAGTCACTAATGGCGGAACCTCCTATTTCAATATCGACAAAACATCCGGAAATATTCAGCTAGCACAAACTCTGGATTATGAAACTGCCACAAGTTACCAGTTGACAGTCGTAGCAACGGACGGCGGGGGTTTAACGGTAATATAATTACATGTAATGTGCACATTCGTTACTTCTGGAACAATACTTCTGGTGTATAAAAAATAACCAAACGTTTCCTTTGCGAAAACCAGTTTTGTTTCATCGGCTGTTTAAACTTGCTGTTCTCAAGTAATGTTTCAATATATTCCATATTTTCAACAACATTGAAATGGCCTTTAATTTATTATTTTTAAACAGGGTACCGGTACAGTGACGTTGTCAGTGACGGATGTAAACGACAATGCACCAATATGCACGCCATCGTCACATGTTTTGACCGTGCCGGAGAACACAGGTATTGTTTTCACAGTAGAATTATTTATATAAAACGTTATGTTGAAGTTCTTTTAGAGGATACGTGGAACTTAATGTATATCATTTTCGTATATAATTAAGGGGTTTTGCGCGTCCCCTTCTGTTTCAACAGTAGTTTAGATAAGTTTGAATTTCTACCGTTTTGGCCTCTTGCATCAACGATGAGCTTAAACAGGTGCGTGGTACAATCTATTCATTTTTTGCATATTGTATATATTACTATACTGTATATATTACCATACTGTATATATTACCATACTGTATCTATTACCATACTGTATATATTACAATACTGTATATATTACCATTATATTACAATACAGTATATTACCATACTGTATATATTACCATACTGTATATATTACCATACAGTATATTACCATACTGGATATATTACCATACAGTATATTACAATACTGTACATATTACCATACCGTATATATTACCATACAGTATATATTACCATACTGTATATATTACCATACTGTGTATATTACCAATGTTTAGGTACAATCACATACTGTATATATTACCATACTGTATATATTACCATACTGTATATATTACCATACTATATATTACCATACTGTATATATTACCATACTGTACATATTACCATACAGTATATTACCATACTGTATATATTACCATACTGCATATATTACCATACAGTATATTACCATACTATATATATTACCATACTATATATATTACCATACTGTATATATTACCATACAGTATATTACCATACTGTATATGTTACCATACTGTATATATTACCATACTGTATATTTTACCAATGTTTAGGTACAATCACATATGTTTGACTTATGTTCATCCTTCAAAGTATAATCACATCCGATTCCATAATTCAAAACCAATATTTATATTCTATTGGTAACCTTTCGCACAGTAAAACATAAATCTTATTGCTCAGATTAAAAAAAATGTCCAGTGTTAGCGGCTTCGCCCTTCAAATTACAATACATGGACTGCTATGTAGTGATATGCTATGTCACGATAAACTCGTTTTCATTACGGAGAACAGAAAAGGCAAATTTAAAAGTATGGAGAAACTTCCCTGGTATGAAATATTTCTTTGCCTGGAAATCTTTTTGATATGCAGGTTGCACAAAGCATGTCCATGACGATACACCTGTACATGTAACGATATTACGGTGGTTGAGTCTTGCGGTGATAAGCGCACTCGCCTTACACAATAAAGCTGATGTTCGATTCCCTGATCGGGGATGAAAAGTTATGGGGTCATTTACAGGACCACTTGGGTTTTTTTTCAGGTTCTCCGGTTTCCCAAACATCAAAATTTCGAGCGCTTCTAATCAGGCCGACAAAAATTATTTATATACGTTTGTAAAACTTGTTTCACATTTGCTAGTACCTTTTTATAACTAAATATAGCGTTATGACATCATGTCAAATTGTCTATACATTTTTCCATAATACTTTTTCAGCTACTAGTACGGCGGTGATATCAGATCTGTCCTGCACTGATGCAGATGCCGGAACCACGTTGACGTACACGATGACGCAGAACCCCGATAATAAATTCGGCGTGACGGTTTCCGGATCTACAGCCTCCCTTGTTGTCAGTGGTAACGTGAACATTTATTTTTATGCTAAAGTATTGATATTCACCTAATCAAATGATCCGTTCTTGACGAACACATCACGTGTTCTGTTTGTTTTGTAAGATTTGTTTTTATTTTACTTCAGCCTCTCTTGACTACGAGACGACCACATATTATAACTTACAAGTGACAGTTAAAGATGGCGGTTCTCCGGAACTCTCGGCTACAGTGACTGTTGACGTCACCGTTGGGGCTGTGGACGAGGGGTCGCCTGTGTTCACAAGTTCTGGTGATAATGTTTGCAAACCTTCAGATCCATTCCACAATAATTTCATTACGATAAAAGATAATCGTAAAGCAGTGTTTCTGCACACTTTTCTTCTGTTATCAATATAACGTTCCGGTAAAAGTTATGGTGTAATTTCAATTAAAACATAAAAGCCCAACGGATTTGGTAATATTAACACATGCATAATGTGCATGGCTAGATAAAATATTCCTTTCATAGGCTAAGACTTAAACAAATTGCATTGAATTATTATTTTTATACATTTCTTTTTACAGGAACGTATGCATTGTCTGTGGGGGAAGATACAGCTATAGGCTCAACATTAGTGACTGTCACGGCTACAGATTCGGTAGATACCGGGGATTCCATTTCTTATGCCTTCGTTGCTACGTACTCCAAGTTTAGTTTGGACACGAACGCGGGAACTATATTACTTGTCACAAGTTTGGACTTCGAGACGGCCACCAATCATCAACTCCTCGTGACCGGATATGACGGTACAACTTACGTCACTGCGACCGTTACCATCACCGTGAACGACGTCAATGAAGTTGCTGTTTTTGGCAGTTCGACGTACACGTATGCATTTCTTTTATCAAACGTCAACATTCTTAATATAGCCACTGTATTATCATCGTAGAACCATTATCTACAGCGAGTTTACGATATCATGAAGGATAGAAATCTTCGAATAAAAAACTACAACCAAGTATTATTGTTTCCTTTCATACAGCTTGGTAACACAGAACACCTTGGCCCAGTGTCATTGCAATGACATTTGGTCTTTCGCAGCTGGAGTTTGTTTCCCAACTTTTATTTCAATGTCAGGACATCTTCCTGCATACCTCTTCTGCCTTGTTACTGTTCTATTTAAGGCAAGACACGATCACATTTAATAGGTTACACTTAAGCATGGTTATTTTCTTTACAGACCTACCTTTGCAGAGAACCAAGCAGTAGGGACAGCGCTTGTACAAGTGACTGCTACAGATGGTGATTCCAGCACGTTCGGAACGGTAGCTTACTCAATTTCCTCGGGCGACGGGGCATCCTACTTTACTATAGACTCTTCCACGGGCATAATAACATCCACGGCCGTCATAGATTACGAGGTGAACATAATATTTTCCATGATAGTTCAGGCAGTGGACGGAGTTCCCGCACTGACAGCCCAGTGCCTTGTTCAGGTCACAATTACGGACGAAAACGATAATACACCAACTTTTAACCCGACAACGTACTCCGTCACTTTATCCGAGGATTCTGCAGTCACTACAACCGTGACCACGGTTTCTGCAACTGATGCTGATTCTGTAAGCAACAACAATAACCTGTTTGAGTACAGCACTACTTCTTCCGTACCGTTTACTATCGGAACGACTACTGGTATAATTACCACTAATGCTGTTCTTGACCGAGAAACAACAGCCAGGTAAATATGATACACTTCGTTTTCCTTTATTAGGTGTAAGATTATGTACACGGATGATTGAAAGACGTGAGTGCGCTAATTTACAATCACTCGAATATTTTTTCAATCTCATTTTGTTTTGAATTTATATATTATTTTTGAGGAATCGAATTTATGACTCATTTCAAAAAGTAAATACTACTTGTAACATAGATATTTAAGATATAATATCATTATTATTTTTTCTTTAAGAAAGGTAGCTCTAACACATGTCAGAGGTATAATGTGTTTGGTAACATCTTTAATTACAAACCTGAAGAATAGCATGTTTAAAAGTATTGTGATTTCCCACTTTATTCTTGGAAATTAAACGTCAATCAGATAAAATTAGAAAACCACGAGGATAACTTTACTTATTTTTATGGCATTACATGTATTTTTATTTGTGAATTTGAAACACATTATTACTCCGTGAATTTCAGTTATGACATGGTGATTCTTGCCACTGACAAAGGCGCCACCCCTCTTACCGGTACCTCTACTGTAACCATCTCCCTGATAGACGTGAACGACAACGACCCCAGTATATCTGGTACTTATGACACCACTATAGACGAGGACACCGCCGTCAACACCGTCGTCTTCTCAATCACTGCCACTGACCCAGACGATGGACAGAATAGCCAGTTATCATACTCAATCAACTCGGGAAATACCAACTCAGACTTCAAGATAGAGGTCGGAACAGGAATATTACAAACAGTAAATACATTGGATAGAGAAACCACATCGGCCTATTTACTAGTGGTGTATGTTGTTGACAATGGCGCCACGGCAAGAACAGCTAGTGTTACATGCACAGTTACTATTGGTGACTTGAATGATAACACTCCGGCATGGACAGCTGCACCTTATACATTTACAGTGGACGAAAATGTCGCTACGACCACAAGTGTTGGCACTATAGCAGCTACGGATGCAGACACAGGGGTTAACTCGGCAATAAGTTACAATATCATAGGCTACTGGTCAGGTGGATCGAACCCTGTAACAATTGACACATCAACAGGCGTAATAACAACAAGTGCGAGCCTCGACCGAGAAAGTGCGGACACGTACGTGATATGGTGCCGTGTCCAGGATTCGGGAACACCTGTTCTGTCGTCTGACACGAATGTTACCATAACCATAAACGATCTGAATGATAACGACCCAACATTTGCTAGTACAACTTACTCGGCAACCGTGACAGAAAATACTGCTGTTGCCACATCGATAACAACAATGTCGGCTACTGATGCAGACACAGGTGTCAATGCAGTCATTGTGTATTCCTTTGACACCTCTACAACAGCCGGTGCTAGAGCAGATCTGTATTTGACCATCGGTTCGTCTACAGGTCTCGTGGAAGTGAAATCCTCGATTGATCGGGAAGTAGATGCGACATTTACTGTAGTTGTTCTGGCTGTGGATACGGGCACCACACCTAGAACCGGATCCACAACTCTTATGGTAACAGTGGGAGACGAGAATGACAATTCCCCGCTATTTTCTCCCACTTACTACAACGGGGAGGTACCGTATACAGGTTCTTGTAATCCCACCATCGTAACACTGACAGCTTCGGACGCGGACGAAGGTGCAAACGCACAATTGTATTATTACTTCACAACCACCAACAGTGACTTCACACTGGACTCTAGCACAGGTACGTATTGACCTCACTAATTAACGTTGGCATTGATAACACATAAATATTATATTCAACTGATAACAAAGTTGCTTTTACTTATGGCTTTATCCGTCAATGTTTGACATTAATATTTTATACAATCGCAGGCGAAATTACTCGGACCTCGACATTGTCCAGCGGAAAGAAGTACATTACCTATGCCTATTCTCACGACGGCGGAAGCCCACAGCTTACCAGTACCAGTTCGACGATTCGTATAGATGCGTATACCCCTTCACTTGTAATTATTTCATTCTACTTAGGAATTAACAAAACCTACTTTGAGTCGGTAGAAAGTACTTTTATTGGTCAGTTGGATGCTGTGTACCAGGTGACATATCCCACTGCCTCAGTCAAACGATGGTGTATAGTGGAATCGTCCGGAAGGTGAGAATCCAGTTACATGTACAATAAAGTATTGAACCAAAAAAAAAACATTTTTATTTCTAATGACAATAGTAACTTATCGATTTCTTTTAAATTCAAGTATTTATACAAAAGTTTTCCGCAAATATTTAATTTTTCATTACATCTGATCTAAAAAATGAATTCATGAAAAGTCCTAAATTTTATTCTTTCAGTTTGATTATTGTGCATATGTATGTGCTACAAGATGATACGACAGATTCTGTTAGTAACATCGCTTCAGAAAAGGTGTTCCTCAGTGCATCGGCCGCCCAGGGATTTGTTGCCACAGACACGGCGGGGACCCCTTCAGCAAGTGTTATAGGTATTACTAGTCTGCTTCAGCACCATTCACTTTAAGATGGATTTTGATATAACGATATCGTTTTACACATACCAGCAATTTTCGTTTGGGTGTTCCTAATAATAAATGACTTGGAACGAGTGTTTGACGACAGAAGTATAGGGTATAGTACAAACGACTAATATTTAATCCAGTGTTTCTGTTTTTCTATTTCCATATGATCTGCAGGGACTTCATGGGATCCGTATGTTATTCAGCAGATTCCACTTTACGACACCAGCTCGGCCGAAGACAGTACACCCTGGATACAAACAGCCACAGGAATCGCCGTTACAACGATATGTGTTCTAGTTGGTGTCATCAGTATCGTTATGGTAACGATCGGTATCGTCAAGTACTACAGGGATACAAGGTAGACTTGACAATCCGCAATTGTTGTTCAATAATTTATAAACCGAGAAGTTATTTAGAGTTATCTCAATTAACTATTTACACGATGATTTCTTAATACAAAACAAATAATATTGCAAAAATGGATATGCAAGCATGTATGTAAATATGTATGTTTGTTACATTTGTAAAAACGAGGGAAGATACTACTTTCATGTTCCGGTCTTTTATTCAATGAATACAGAAAAGACCCTTCAACGTAAAGGAATAAAATATATAATTATCTAATCTCACAAGCAGTTGTACATTACTAGTTGATATATATTTATCACGATTACATATTATCTTAACTGAGAGTTTAACATACATTACATAAATATATTTACTATGAACCACGATATGCAATATCTGGGCATACAAGTCATTACAGCGATATGCTGTTATTATGTTACTTGATGCATATAAATAGTTAATGATAAATACTTAATACTTTTATATATAACATTTACATATACTTAGCGATCAATACATGAGTATTCTGACACCTACCCTGACAATGGGTCAGGGATATTAGTAAGACTTTCGTCTGGACTACCAGGACAATGTATCAACTGAAAATATAATAAACAACTAATAAAGCAATGCTATATATTATAGATCACCTTACGATTCATGAATTATAAGGACAACTGAATTCATTCATAAAACATTACTTATCCGTGATTAAATAGTGGACTTTATATATTTAGATATATAAACGTCGTTAACATACAATTTGATTATAAATGATTCATACTAGATTGCTTAAAACAGAAGTGCTTTAATTGCACGAATATATTTATGTAAGAACCTACCTAAAATCTGTATCAAAACGACAACGTCATTTGTCCGTCTGTCGGCAATGGCTGCCTCTATTTATATCCCGCCAAACAAGGACAAAACTGACCACAACTAAAACGACACAATACCTGAACACATACATCGATGACGTCACACAGGTTAATTGGCCATACATACACAGGTATATATAACATTAGCGGCTCTTGTATACGACGCAAAGGTGTGGTTTCGCACAACTCTATATATACCGAAACAGAACAACTAACGGTAGACGCGGTATTGAAATCAACCCTATTACACATACGTTTCTTAGAGGGGGAAAATACAGAAACACTAAACATCTTTTTGTGTTAACAGAACTGCAGACGCGGCAGCTAGTTCCAACAGTACTAAACCGAGAGCTGAGGTTGAAGAATCAGATGACGTGTATTCCTCAAACAAGCGGCCGCCACCATATTCACGTAAGGTCATTTAAACTTATATGTACGTCCCTCATATTTATTCAATCAGTTATGTTTGCACATTGCTTCCTCCTAATAACCGTTTTACATCAAAGGACTCGCACCACTAAATCATGATCGATCAACGTGAAATAAATAATCATGTTTCTTAACAACAATAACAATATTGAAAACTATCATCCAGCCAGTTATTCCTGCTGTATAGAACACATTGGCATTCAAAGACATACTCGAAAGGGAAAGGAATTTCATGATGGAGATGCAATGGTTTGTCCAATGGCCTTATGACTTTTTATACTAATCAGATACAGTGTAATCTTGTTTTTCCTTAAAATAAAACTAATGTTTTACGACTGGCATATCGTGTCACTGTATCTTGAAAGTGTTTTTCTGCTATTTATTAATCATAACTTTAACTACTTTAGGCCAAGGGCGACGGGCAAAGCTACAAGCAGTGGCGGCAGCGTCGGTAAGTATGTAAATAGCATGCTTTACATCAAAGTCGTCTTACATTGTTGTCTCCACATGATCGGTGGTATTCATAGCAAAATTGTTAGTTTGGTATGGCTTCAGGCACTTCGTGAAGCAACATATTGTCTTGGATTTCGTACATTTAAATTCAATGTATGAAGCAATAAGTACCTAATTCATTTCTGCAGGCATGTTATTGACAAAAAAAGACATGAAGATTTTTTATGTTGAAAACCGTCTAAAAATCTTTTATAAAGAAATATATTGAAAACAATGCAAGTTGTAACGTATTACATTGTTAGTTTATATTTTTTACATAATTGTCTTTCATTTTGTCTATTTTGACATTTTACAATTTGAATGTATTTCAAGCAGAAAAGAAGAAGAAGAATATATCTCATGACCGTGTATATGTATATTGTAGGCATTCAGCAGTAAAGCTCCTGTAAGTACAGCGTTTGTCGTAGAGCCAGGAGGAGATATCAATGCTTGGCAAAAGAAGGGTGATTTTGTTATTACCAATCGTGAATTTGATGGAAGAGCGGTCGACCAAGGTAAAAAATAAATGATTAAAATTTCGTAAAAGGAACAGATTACATTGATGCTGATTGCAAGTGCCTACAGACATTCTCTTTAACTACTGTTCCTATCATTTTTTATCATACAAAAATGTAATAATCCGGATTAATTGTGATTTTTTAAAACTTGCTCGGAAGCAGCACAGGATGTGTATTTTTTTGCAAAGTGGGATGTTATTGATATACATATTGGTTATGTTGGTTGAAAACTAAATATTGTAAAAGAGGAAAAAGAAAGCTCCCAATTATTCGGACACAATAGATGATAAACATAGCACGTTTACAATTCTTTAGACCTGATCACGCAATTTTTATGAAACACTAGCGTGGTTCTTGATGACGATAAACATGATCTATATATACACAGATTCTTTTAGCGGTTTATTTTTATAACCATATTGTTTTCTTTTCTTTTCTTTATTCTACTTTTAAAATTCTAACGGAAACATTTTGTGTGTATTTAATCCATCCAGCCTCTGGCCAAGTCTATGAATATAGCACAAAGACTAATGAACGACAATGGATTAAAACGCCCGACGGAAACCCAGTCAAGGTCGATATAGGAAAGACCGATTATGACATAGATGCGTAACTGTATATATGTATTCCTTATTGCTATTCAGGGTCGTATTCAGGGAAATATCTATGTATGTGATAAGAATCATACTACTGAGACATATTGCACGTTGTAAACAGTTGGAAATTTATCATAAAATTTCCGACGTGTGAATAGCGATTTATTCATTTGTCTGATAAATCAGCCAGGTAAAGGATATTTTTATGTATTTCTAATGTTATGCTTTTCCATATTACTGGTATCTGTAGAAATATTGTAGAAATATATCCTTTTTAAATATTTTTAAGGACATTTTGTTTTTATGTATTATTTAAAGGTATGAAATTCCTGTATTGCCACTTCTTTATCTGGATCTGATATCGCATAATACCGACAAGGTAGCACTGAAGTATTTCGAATATTCGAAAATTATGTGTAGCGTAAACACTATACTCAGTGTTTCATTTTACTAAATTTCAAAATAGAATAAACACTTCGTATTTCTTCTAATGACAATAGTATGTCATCTTTATGCAACAAAGAAAATGGGTCAGTGGTTATATTTATTTATTTATTCATTGTTATTTGGCATTTGGCAACATTTGCATCCTTAAAATGCAAGGGTCAAAGATCAAATCTATTAAAGGCGCCATCTACATATTTGGCTTAAACTCAGATAAATTATCTATATCAAATAACCAATATTAACTATTTAATATTTAACACAAGTTGACCGAGGGCTGGGCAAGAGTATGTCCTCAGCAGAGTACTTCCGGAATATCGACATATCGCTATCATCGAAACACTAACAGTATCAACAGTTATATCATCAAATATGAAGGTATTAAAAAAAATCCCATTTTGAAGTATAAGCGTTGTTTATATACATTTTAATATGCTGTAATCAATAAACAGATTCGGATTGTTCTAATTTAACTGTAACTGACAAATGGCATTACGAGTAAGGTAGATACATGTACATGCACATCATGAGATTTTCATGTGTATTGATATTGACAATCGTGTAAAATTCCCATCATTAGATAACCAAGCAATGGTATCAATAAGTGTGTAAAGGGGGATAACTATAGTTCTGTAATTTTCTGAAAGACACTCAGCCAATGTGAGTTACCCCTTAACAACATACGTTTATGTTTGGTTTAGTAAAAGCTACCTCTCGAAGTTGGATTACCGGACTAGATTCTGTATAAAATATCATAGCAGAATAATTAAAAACTAAATCAGCTAAAAGTTGTTTACAGCATGGCAGATTGGCTGATCTTTAGAAAAGCTTTTTGCCAAATGATGCATGCAAATGACGATAGGATATTATGGTTGATTCTTCATTCTGTCTGAATTTTTTTTATCATCATAGCAGTATTGTTTATCGAACAAATGCTCCATAACCATTATCGATATTTTATTCTCTGTTAAACAGTAATGTAACGGTTACAGGATAAAATTGCTCAATGTGTGTTTACTAAATGCCTTGCAATAATAGTACTATACGTTTAATATATTAATATTCGATTGATATGTAAATATTTATCATAAGAAATTAAAATATTTTTCATTCCATATCTAATTTTTAATACGGGTTCAGAACTTTTTATTTATTTAATCGTTGAATTTATAATGCCAGGACTAGTTAAGCAAAATACAACGTAAGGAGATTTTAACTTCTGTTTATCATTTTACCAAAGTAATGATGCTCCTCGGGTGGTGCCAAATTGTCTATGTAATCTTACTGAACGTTCTTACATTGTTGTTTTGCGACATTAAAATTAGAAAAGGATATTACATGTTCAGACATTGTTGTACCATTGAAATATGGTGTTTGGAATAAAAATAAAGTTAATATTTTTCTACTATGAATTTATCATGATTATTCACACTCAACTGACCAATCAGACAGGTGCATTTGGTGTGAACAAATAACAACCAATGGCCTTTGTTAACTGGGACGTCACCTACGCCCTGGCTCCAGTTCCTCAAAGATTGGTTAACTTTAACCAGTGCTTCGTAAAATAGTCAAATTGATGCAAATAAGAAGCAAGAGGTCTTAGAGCAAAAGAAATTCACAAAACACATAAATCTTATTTGTCTGAACCAATGTATGATAGTGAAATGATAGCAGATGCTCTTGCTTTTGTTGCTTTTATATTTGAAATTTCCCCAACTATTTGTTAAATGTTACATTTGAGCAATTGGGGCCTGATGTTTCCTGGGTTATAAAACGTAAGAAACAGAATATTGTTGATTTCTTGATGAATAACAATTATATTTCTATCTTGGTCAAACACCTTTCAATCGTGATACGCGTCAAAAATCCCATTTTTCTCCCAACTCGTGAAATATAACTGTTCATCAAGAAATAAATATCCTTTATTACTTATATCACGTACATTGTATTACATACGTTATTATGTTACCTAACGTATATTGAGTAGTAGTTTGTTGGCATCCAGAGCTTCACTGTTTGATTTGTATTCTTGTAATCGGGATATAGCTTTAGTTCACACTTATCAGCTGTACACGAACCTAAGGGCATGGTGATGATGTTAAAGCTGATACGTGCATAAGTATTGTTTGTTTTTAATTCATGTGATGTTTGATGTCATTGATTCTTGCAACTATTCTTTCTACATTAAATTATACTTGTTTTATTTATAAACATATACATGAACCTAACCATGTTTTTAATTCATGTGATGTTTGATGTCATTGATTCTTGCAACTATTATTTCTACATTAAAATTATACTTGTTTTATTTATAAACATATACATGAACCTAACCACAGATGTCTTTCAGCTGTTAAGGTCTGTGATACTTGTGACTATCTTCTTAATTGGAAGTAATAAAGTTTGCGTTTTATAGCTCATGTGTTTGATTATATTTAGAGGATTACGAACTCGTTCTTTGTTAATGTAGTTTTGCACGTCATAGAAACTATGGACATACGAGATATTTCGAAGTACACGCATCGCAAAATTGTCTCAAACGACATACAGTGTAAATCACTTGACATCAAAGCGCAAAAGAAAATGCTGGCATGTATTTGTTGAATATATGACACCATTTCTTCGCTCCATATGGCGTCACAGTTGAAGTAACACACGTGGTTCAAATTTAAACTATATGTGTTTTCGTTGAACAGGGCTAAACACCTTCAGCATGTGATAGTACATATGTATCACTTTTAGAATGTATGGGAAGTGGGATACTCTGTCCGTTGAGGTATCTATAATTGGATCTCATATTTAAAGCTACGATTCAATTTACAAACATAAGAATCCGTTTACGAGAAACGAATTTCCTCTAAATCGTAATCCACATATCTATGGAATTTGTATTTAAATTGTGCTTTGGATTTAGAAACACTTTGAAAACAATCTTTGTGTTAACAAGGTTACATGTTTAGAGATTGCGTCATATGAATTAAGACACAAAAACAACAGAAGATAGAATTGTCGTTAAATGGTCATTTATTACTGAAAAGAACAAAGTTGTGACACTACAAGTTCACAATTTGTATTATTAAATATTAGTTATGTTGGATACTACATAGATCAGAAGTGCATTTACTTCTGTTTATATGCAACATCAAAGGTGGGGTACAAATGATATGCAATAATACAAATAATAATCAACAATTAAAATATAAGCTGGCTCAAGACTTACATAAAAATGGGGTTGGGATAAGTGTAGGATTTTAAGGAAACAATGGCTCAAGCACAATTTATTAGTCCAAAACCGTGTGGAGCTCCGCAACAGTATATCTTTTATCGAAGTGATACAGAGGGGACTCTTCCAGAAGTGCGCGCTTCGCTAATTAGTCAAGCTAGGTCCCTTTACCTTAGGGCATGATGGCCTTACCAGTTGATCATGTGTGCGCATTATGCTGATTGATCAAGCTTGACCATAAGGTATGATGACTTTATTAGCCGAAAACGTGCTATTTTTCTCTATGATGAGAGTTTGACCATCCCATTTACATGCGATAATTATAAATAGATAACAGATGGTCAATAGCTGTGTGTTGTTCTAGAATCGGGACATCCCTATCGAATACACAATAGCCAACGTATATGATATACATAACACAGTTTGTAATGATTTACTCCGAGTGACCCGATTATAAATTAAGTTACCATCTTACACATATGTATTTATTTCGTAAAATAAATTAAATTAAAAATACATTGTTTGAATAAATATTTTCATTAAGGAACGGTTCGTTTCTCAGAATTCTTTATTGTATAAACAGTATTTCATTTTCAAAAAATAACAAAAAATCAAATCAAATCAAAAGAAAAGAAAACAAATGATAAAAAAAGAAAAACAAACAAACCTCATTCTGAGAGCTATTATTGTACATATTGTAACACAGGAACAAATATATACTAAGAGTACATATTTATACAAAGTTTATTTCAGAAGCACCGTTTTTTAAAGTGTATTAACCTACACTGGGTTTCACAGAAACAGTGGTTCCGATAGTTGACTTTTATATTTGATGTATCAAAGGATCAGAGTGGTTCTCAGTGTATCATTTTGCATATTGGTTACAAAGTAGTAAATCTAGAGTGATTCTCATTTCAACTGACTTCGATCATATTTTGTAACGGTAAATATTCAATCGCTTAGGTGCAATTCATTTCCCGCAGAAAAAACATCATGTTGTAAATAGATTTTTTCCTTGATGTACTGTTTGAACAGTCAGAGTATTTCTAAATTCATCGGACTAATGATGCATATAAATTCACGGGAACTACAGTGTGCTTTTAGGAATCAACAAGGTTGACAGGACCTTCTCCATCCTCTTCAACCCTAAAATAGAACATGAAAACGTCAAACATCTTCATATTTAATATTTGTATAATTTGTTATGGTACTGTATGAAAATTTAAACGAGATTAGTTATTCTTTTTTCGGAAAGCATCAGTTATTCCTCAAGCGTTTTTTCTGATTAGGTTTTTATCTCACAATGAAAGGCTCAGCACCGATCACTGTCGTATTGTTTCTCATCCTTTCTCAGATATGTGTTAGATTTTCATCTCGTCAGTCATTGACACAGTACCAATCACTGTCGTATTCTTGCTCAGCGTTTCTCAGATATGTGTTAGATTTCCATCTCGCTCGTCATCTTTCCTCTTCATTTGTCTTATGAGTGTGATTTAAACTTTTGCACATTCATTATTTTGGCCTCCAGCATCGTGACAAGAGTTCATGAACTGTTATATCCACATCCGGTGCACTTAATGTGGTTTTTCTTACGTTTTACTACTACACCACGTCAGACTAAAGCATGTGTGTCAAATTAAGATACCGTTGACAACATGGCTTGAAGGGCGAATGCTACGTTAGAGTTCTATGCAATTATCTGACTGGTATCTGGGTTTCGTTAGCTAACAAATGGCACATAGAATAGATTCGTGTAAAATGCAAGTAGTGATAAGGTGTACGGCGTTTTGAATTAAATTACAAATCAATATTGCTATGCAATTTGTAAGGAAATAATTTTGTCATTTTGATAATCTGAATAAACTGTGCACACTAAACTTACCTTCTTTAACGTGATCTTTGTACGTTGTGAAGGTGAGACGAAACCATCCGGGGAAAGGGGAGAACATTTCTTTACCAGGACACAAGTACACTCCACCTTGAAGAAACTTATGGAACAAAGCTAGTTCCTCTTCACTTGTTTTGTGTGGTAGGTACTACAAAAAGTAAAACAACAATAACATATCTAAGTTTCTTATCACATTACACATGTTAAGCTTCGTTATATTTCAGAAATATACGAATCCTATTTAGATTTCTACCATATGCAAACCTTATTTAGTTTACTGATACATACAAACCTTCGTCAGATTCATCCAGATGTAGCTCCCGGCGGTTCCTCGGTAGAATGGTATCCCTATCTTTTCTAAACCATCACTTGCGATTTCAAAATGTTGCCGTTGTCGCTTTTGGTACGTTGGGAAGTAAACCGTGTCTAGCCATTCTGAATAAAAAGCGGCCTAACAGATATCAACAAAACTATTAAAATTACGATGGCCATATGTCAATTGCTCAAAATAGCATTAAACATGCATAAATGAAGATAGAACAAAACATTTAACATGAAAGATATTTATAAAAGATTTCTTTTAGAATTATTTTCTGCATATGGTTCGCTTTAAATGCATGTTAATCTACACATTTAGCAATGTTAGAGAAATTCAGTGATGAAAAGTGCTTCAAAGAAAAGAAAGAAGAAAAATTGTACATATGAATCCATATTGGGAGATTTATAAACAACTTCCGGCTTTCCCCTTTTCCTCTATTTCTATTTGTATTTCGGAGCATTAAGACATTGATTTTCATTCGTTTGGTCTGACGAGCTATATATAGACTAAATGATCATACAGTGCAGAAAAAAGTTACTTTGTTTGGACTTGTGCATCAACTTACAAATTCCTGAAATAGATGACTTCTCGAGATAATAGTATCGCAATCAATGGATCATGGACCACATCGTCAAAACACAATACAAAGACAAAATCGGAACACAAAGTCAGAAAGACAACAAAGGAACAGAGGAGGAACCAAATAAAAAAGAAGAGAGCAAATATCGCTAGAATAAAACCATATCAAAACGACATACTGCTGAAAGGGTAATCTTTTTATATACCACATGTGTCTAACTTTATTATGTTTCCATACAGATCTAGAAAAGTCACCGAAAACCTGATCTGCTTAATACAAATGCTCTTAACCATGACGAACACTTCATTCACATAGATGAAGATAAGCAGATTGATTCATGGTATGCAAGAAGTAGTCTCTCTTTGTAAATAGCGAATGTTTGACTTTGAACATCTAGATAGTGTTTTATTATAAAAAGCATTCATTTTTCTTGAAAGCAATGACGTGGTTATATTCTTTTTTGTAATTCATTTTAAAAGTATAAATATGAAACTGGCTTTAAATTTATTTTTAAAATCTGCGTGTTTTTTTTTAACTTACCAGTGTCAGATATGATGGCATTCAAAATAATTTGAACTGGGGCAGGAATTGAGCAGAACATGGATACTTTTCGGACGTAATCTAGTAGTCGTGTATTTTCACTATATATCATCCCACATCTAAAGCCTGAAAGCGAAAGATCCTGCGCGGAAGAAAATTCATTAACAGGAAAATAAATTCTTAAAACAACATAACATACTTAAAACAACATAACATAACAATACATTAAAAGTGATTTCGTAAACTGTTTTTGGATTTTATTAATAGCTATGAATGATGATGCAGTGAAATTTGTACTATATATACATATTTTCGGTAAAAACAGCTAAAATAGGTGATATTTTAATCTATAGAGCTTATTATGTCATGATAAATATACGTGAATATAACATCAGTATTAATTCCCCCACATACCTCTATGCTTAATAAGATATTATACATATTCTGACCGCCCCTTCATCTAACTGAATTCCTCAACAAATATTATACGATAATACTTAGCTAATATTGAATATTTAAAAAAAAAAACATTAGTTACGAGATTATTTTGACAGAGACTACCTACACACTTACCTTACTGAATCCCCACAGGAAATGAGTACGACTGGGATCCGGAATTTCACACTGTAGAACACTGGTGAATTGCGGTTTGTCGTAACACGACAGAGCATATATTTCGTCGATAACTGCATGGATTTTCTTACTAAATCACAAGATACGAATTGAAAATCACTAAACAAGTGTTAAGGACATTTAAGTCAGATATCAATGTGAAATTGTAAGTCCCAGATTAAAAACTAAAGAACTTGTCTTCATGGGCACACAGTCATAATAGGTGTGAGTTGAGTCAGAATTCACCGTTATCGCAATTGATTAGGAATTCAATCTAACTCTGGCTGACTGGTATTGTTTACTCCTTTTCCTTCTACAGCAAAACAACATCCTCTGTTATTTAAACATCTTGTTCTCATAATTTCACGTTTTATAAAACAAGAAAATGGATAACACATTGAATACTATTGATCAAAGAGTGATCAAGTTTCTATTGAATACCTTGCACAGAAATCAAGCAGACTGAAGATGTCGCCTTTGCTGTAAACCTTTCCTGTTGGATTTTGAGGATTACACAGTATAACCCCTTTCACGGTGAGTCCCTGTTAAAATAGGATGATTTATATCAGAAATGTGGATTAATAACATAATGATATATTATTTTTCATATGTGTGTATGTAGTTAAGGTTATCAGGTATTACATATCAGTCTAACACAATATAACATTTTGAGTTACGTCATCACATGGGTGTTTGATTTGAATCTGCTAATACATTACCTCGTCGACAGCTTTGTTATAATACTCTTCAATAGCACTTATTTGCAACTCGGCGGCATCTCCAGTGCCACATTCCTGAAAAGTAGATAATCAGATCTATTTACGCTCAGGTGTTATTTTTTCATATCCTTTTAACGAGGTTTCCTTACAGGAGACATTAAAATTAAATTAACGGTGTACTTAAAATGTTTTTATTTTCTCCATTGTTTTTTCTGGGGGTTTTCTGTTGTTTTTTTTACTTTACGAAAGGATTGAACTAGTTTTAATATTACCAAGGGTGACCTCATTATTATCAAACAGTTGATACCTTAAACATTGGTACTTTGTAGAAACGAGCGCCGGCTACCTCCTCTATGTCGTTGAGGATACGTCCATAGGTGGGTATTGGGCATAATATGGCATCTACAAATAGTTAAGAAGAATCATGGAAAGAATTACTAATATAAAGAAATCACAACATCATAATTCGTCAAAGCACAATTTCTAGATTAATAACATATCTTAATACTGGGGTTCTTACGTTACATTTTGAACGTAACCTTACAATATTCGTTTATTTGCAAACGAAAAGACACTTGAAATGTCACATTTTCACAACTTAAACAAATACATGATTAAAAGAGATTGATTTTTCTTGTCAAACATACAATACATTTTTAGATAATTTTATCATGCAAACACAACTAAATTCGGTCCTAGTTGTTTTGGCAAGATTCTAAAAACCAACAAGAAACCAAGGAGACAAATCATTTCAACCGTTATCTAATCGTTATGACGCGATTGTTGGGAATGTACGTTGAACGTACTACCACTGTTGACACATGTGACCTTGAATGTTGTTCAGGGTCATTTTATCGAGCGAACTTGATTGGTGTTTATCGCTACAAGATACGTTTCAACTAACATTTTCCTAGACGTCAACTTCCATAACAGGAAGTCATTTTTAAAAATGGTTAAACATATTCATACTCCGAACGTGAATTTGGGCAAAGGTTATATATTTGAAAAAAATTACAAACCTGATAGCACTTATCTCCAGTCAGAAGACCAAACATCATTACTCAAGCCGCAATGGTTCTAGGTATTTATAATAGCTAAATTATAACCGTTGATATTTCATAATATCTCAAGTATAAGAAATGGGTATTAATAACTTTAAATGGACCACCGTTGACATTTAATTATAAGAGGTCTATTGAGCCTGTATAGTCGATTTTAGTGACCTTGAATAATGGTAATTGCTATTCATTTAAACAAACTTAATAATAAATCATACCAGCAATCAGACTTCATGATACATTAGAAGAAAATAGTTTGAAACTTTTAACATATTATATTTGATCTTGTGATCATGGATATGGTCTACATATCACGACTGTATTATTTATGGTGGTTTATTAGTAAAGTCACAAACAGGTTTCCATTTAACGCCAGTTGCCGTGAATAGAGGTGAAAATAATATTAACAAAATTAATAGCTTGTGCCAAAACGTTACAAGTTAAAGATGTATGCTTTAGATCAAACACAATTTTTTCCTGAAAATAACACATTAACACCAGTGAGTTTTGAGTATTGATATTCATTTAAACAAATTCAATTGATGTCAAATGCTGACAAACAAACTTACAACACAGGTTTCGAGAGACAATACCTGATGAAGGCTATGGACAACTTCTATGGTTACCATGATGACCTTGATGAAGGCTATGGACAACGTCAATGGTTGCCATGACGACCTTATTGGAAAAAGATACATTTCCTTTATGCGATACGAATATGAACAGTTTTGCCTACGCTAATCACTGAGCGTTTTGATTTGTTGTCCTTCCTTGGCTCTTACATTGAGAACCTGTTCACCGGTTTACCTAGATCTATATGGTCTGGGTCGTTGGTGAGGCAGAAAATGCTTATCTTCAGTAATACTCAAACCTTATATTCATTATTCCTTTCTAGGTGATCTATGGATAAAATTTCTTTATATTTTGCCAAATTCAAATTACGGATTTGTTCACAGTTCCATCTTCCCTTGTTGTTTCTGAGACAACTGCTCTCCAATCAGCTACGAACGAGGTATTGGTACTCTAGGGTTATATTTCACTAGAAAAGGTCGTTTGAAGATTTATCATATTTAGCTCATGTAACCGAGTGTGTCAATCGAGGTGATATGGATTTAAACTTATTGCATAGCATTGACTGAAAAAATTGTCAAATAGTAATGCTAAAGACGGATGTTAATTGAAAAAGCCGTTTTAAAGACTTGTACAAATTTGACCATTGCAACTTTGACAGTATGTCACGATACATTTGTACGTACATCCTTTAATAATGATTTACTAGTATACGTAACTTACCACCTTCATCGGCGATTGATAGCGCTATTGCATTGAGCACAGCCGTGACTCCATCAAGTAGGACTATCTTGAAGAGTAAAAGTGACTTCATTTTTACATTTAGCAACGAAAGGTTATTTGACATCAATGCTTAAACCCTAGAATAGTAAGAAAGGTATCAATTTAGGCAGGTGAATGATAGCTCAATATACAGGGTATATTCAGAAGGAATAGTACATAAATGCATGTATAACTCCCAAATTAGTAGTAAGTGATGCATAAATACGGTTTAAAACTTTGTCATTGGTTTAAATGAAAAACCCTTTTTGGGGTTGGAGATCTGATTTAAACCTTACACGCATATTGAAATACAAAATTAATATTCAATTAAATGAGTGAGATATCAGTTAGGACATAAAGAAAGGAAGCATTTAGATAAGAGAACTATAAGTGTGCGTACAAATATTAAAAGTAAAAGAAACAATTTTATTTATTTGTTTTTCCAAAACAAATATAAATGTATTTGATATTAGCTAACGTTTCAATTAGAAAATATATTGGCTAACATCAAGATAATTTAAAAACAAACACACGCACACACACAAAACAAACAGAAACATTAGGGAAGGATGAGTTTATGTTTTAGCAAAGGAAATATCAATGTAACTTTAAATTGAGAAATTTGCAGACATATAGTCGAACAATTAAAATATGATGTATCAACGCAAAACTGAATCAGAAAAAAATAATTTGCAACTAACAAAAATCATATTAAAAAAAGATACGAAATATAAACTACATGTACACGTATTTAATTTTTCTTCAAATTTGACAAATGAAAATACTTTTTGTGGATCAAGAGGCTCCGGCAGTCCAAACTTCGTTGCTAAAAACTTGCCAATGTTTTGACGAAGTCTGTAACATGAAAAAGAATAAAACAAATACTGTACATAAATTCAGACCAAAATGTGTTCTATAATATGTTAAAAAATCAACAAAGCACTACTAATGAGAGAAAAAACATGTTTTGACACATTACAAGCGATATCTTATAACTTGTTTTCTGCCAAAAGGAAACATTTTTGAAGTCTGTAGCACAAAACCGGTTTTCATTATAGTAGTGCAGTAAATGTAGCTAAATCGTCGTTTATCAAGACGATCGAGCGTCAAATGGTTTTTGATAATCTGCCCGATGACGTGTGTTTTTTTCCGGGTAGTTCGGTTTCCTCCCAAATTAAGAACCATTGATTTTTTTCATTCGGGCCAACATTAGTGAATAACTTGAAAAAACGTATCTATTAATAGTTGTAAAAAAAGTTCAATTTGCAATTCATGCACACAGTACAGGAATGATATAACGTACAATTATGTACTCACATTTCGAAGCCCGTTAAATTGTAATAGTACAATGATGATTTCTCGGCAATTAAAGGGGCCAATTCCTCCACCTGAAAACAAATATGACAACACCTCGTAATATATCAAGAATATGTATCAAAACATTTTTTTTCTGCTATGTGATCCTTAAATTCTGATAGCAAGATAAGTTGAAAGATATGTCTGAGAACGTTTAAAATATATACCAACAGTGTATAAACAAACTGCCATTAGTGAAAACGAACAGTTATATGAAACTGAATAATATGGTTTTCTGTACCCAAGGGTCTTCCTGATTTAATATACTTTCGTAAAATCATACATATCGTACAAAAATGTAGTTCCTGATGTGTCAATAATATATCGGTTAAATGAACATAAGATGTGTACATCGACTAAATATTGAATATATTTTGCATTATTGGATAGAAGCAATTTTTTTCTGAAACGATATAGTTCAGATTTATTTTTTCCTGAAATGTTTTTTTCCTGATTGCAATTGTTTTAATTCCGATTCTTTTCTTTAGCTATACTAAAATGTGTGTCATCTCTCGACCTCTATCCGGCCAACCCGCCCTTGTCAGCCTAAACATTAAGGCTCTGTTTTGTTGATAAACATTGTAAGAATGTAATAAACAGAACCAGAGCGATGGTAAGAGTTGGTCATCGTTGGTCGATATCAACCAGTATTCGGGACTCCTCTAAAAAGAGTTTGGAACACATCTCGATTTTTTTCATCAGGAAGTGACTACAGAAGACACCGTAAAGGATGCTGTCAATGTTAAATGAAAAGTTCTGAGTCAACGTTTGACTTCGTTTATAGAATGAGAGATATCAACAAAATGAAAAAAAAATCCGATATAATTAAAGAACAATTACACGATTTTAATAACGTGTGAATGCAATTAGCTTATGATGAAATTTCAGCAGGAAAACGATGAAAAAGAGAGAAAAAAGAGAAAAGCACTTATTGAAAATATTTACACACTTTGGCATAGGATATAGTAGTCTAAGTTTAATACAGGATATAATATTGATAAAGATATACAGTTTATAAGGGCATGTTATAGCATTATGTAGGCATCATCAATATAAACTGTATTTACCTTTTTCAGCCATATGTCTTCACATGTTTTGTTTTCAATTGTGCCAAGGTTGACTATGCCCTGAAATTCAAATTCAAATGCAGATTAATAAATATACTTATTATAATATGATCACAAAACTAAAGCAAATACATTCTAATTATGCAACCAACCATTAACGTTTTTCGATTGTGTTATAATTTTTAAAGTTAAGATTAAAGGGATTTTTTGTCTCTCTACTTTTTCGTGATAATACTGATGTATTGTACAAGTATTCAGCTGATTCGTTAAGGCAAAACATCACTTATTTACCCTTTTACAACCCTATAACATCATTATGTTTACACCAAGTCAATACATCATTCACTTATACTTACATTAGGGTGGTCCGTTGGGTCGTATGAATTAGCAGAGACCTCTAGCAAATACCTCACTAAAAACTCCGGAATATCCAAGGCTCTGTTGGCACGTTTAGACAACAATTCAGCCATGCTGGATAGGCGCAGTCTTCGGTCTGATATGACGTCCTCATGAGTGGACTTATCTTTTGTAAGAACGCCCTTATCTGGCAAATGCCTATCTCACTCGCAGGTTACCCACCTTTGTGTTGTACTCTACATGATATTGTTACACATAGCTTGGCAAGTTTATTGTTATAAGTATCAACTGGGTCAACAGTGAAATAAACGACATAGGTAAGTTTCTTGATAGAGCGTAGTGGTGTTGTCGGGGGCGCATAAAGGGAAACTCACAAAACACGCTGCTCAAAACACCGTGGCATATGTCGGGTACCCAAGCTTGTGGGTACAACGGGTGCATTTAGGGATCCCTGTACCACTACCAAAAATGAAACTATGCATTCGAAACTTATTTTTTCGGCATAACTATAGCTCTCATGAATCATTTTCGTAAAAAACAAAATGTACCTCTTGTTCGATTTTAAGAAAACATAATGAGGATGAAATAAACAAAATCTAATCAACGAACGTGTTCTGAGTGTGAATATTCTGCGGGGCAAGACCGGGGTTCGAACCCGAGAATTCAGATTGTTATACCAATACCGAAACATATTAAGCTACCTGGACAATGGAACTGTCCGAGCCCAAATTGGCCACAATTATATTCAAAAGGGGGTTGATGTTAGTGTGTTAGTATGGTGCCTGGTAAGAAATGGTGGATGAAGCTGTGTTGAAAAAACGTAAATAATTTTGGAGGTAATTATTGGGAAACAACACAACACTATTAAGCGTTATGATAAGTGTAACGATTCTGAGTCTACGATCATTAACTTCCCGTTTCTTGATTGTAACATTTCTGCTATCACACTTCATTTTGTATTCTGCATTTCAAAGTTGATATCGCTATTCCTCAAGAAGTGTTTGATAGACCTTTCTCAAATTTCATATCTATGTTCCCTTAGTACTTAGTTGTGCATGTTTCATTTTAAGACTGATTGGAGAAACAAGAAGGCAGTCGGGAAGCAATTCTGGATATCGACAGGTTATTTTCTATCGCTAGTTCTATTATTAAATACGTTACAGCACACGACGAGAATTGACACTGTCAAATCTATCTGATCAGTCGAATCAAGATGTACGTCCTTTTGACAAAAGTATAAATATTTAATTAGGATCTCTTCTTTGATTTAAGAAACCAAAGATTAAAAATCTCGAATAAAAAAATATGCTTTTACATTAATTGAATTCGACCTAGATTTACATGGCACTCATCGATTAAGCTGAACACGCTTGCTTTCCTCTCAGTTGTTTTCTCTTTGCAAGTGTACTTTGTTCAAGGGTATCCACGTAAATCTTTGATTTGTTCATTGTTTTTTATTCCCTTGTTCAATCGACTATGAGTTCGAATAGCGGTTTTGTCGGCACTGAAGTATTCTCTAGTTGCTTTTTAAAATTATCAAAACCTATATTACAGTGATACGTGTCTGCTTCATATTAAGATCATAATGTATTGTCTGCATCGTTTGGCAAAGTGATGAGCCAAGATGTCATGATCTCAATGAACATCTAGCTAATTTTCTTAGTGATTTTTTTTGTTTTATATATTATTCCAAACGAGGGATTGGCCAGGAGTGCATCACGTGTCCACCGATAAAAACCGATATTGACTCCAAACAATGCACCGTCCCACTTACGAAGCTTTTTTGTTGTGGTTTTTTTCAGAATGCTTACATTACTGTTTTGTAAAATAATAAAACAACTGTAGCCTTTAACTTCGGTCAATACCTGGATTTTCTTTTCTCGGGTCGATAAATCCAGGTTTGCGTCCTCGGTCAATATATCTTTTCTCGGGTCGATAAATCCAGGTATCGACCTCAGCCAAAGGCTATAATTGAATACTAACGCAGTTATAGCGTTCTTTCTATATAAATTCTAGTCTGAATATAACATGACATAATATAAATAAAAATAATATAATATTTTATGACATAATATAATATGATAGCGCATTTTGCTACTCTTGACTAGAAGGTCTAGTTTGGTAACATAAAATCAAGTACCAGGCGTGATAACTCTCATTTGCTGCATGTCTTTCCAACATTCATGAACAACAGTAAGGGTAATGTCCCTTAGCATCCACGTTTATAGTGTATATATTAATATTGACCGGCGCTGACTCCAGTCAAATAATGATAACATCTTTAAAACGAAACTGAACTTTAATGATATCAGACAACAGATAATGGCATGGCGTCTCCCGGGCATATGTAGATAACAAGAGAACAAATCCCCTTCTGACACCATCTAGTGTAACAAGTAATCTTGTTTGACTGAATGTTTATGCTATTGTTTGCGTATGCTAGAGTTGGCTAAATGGGCTTCATTTTGAAGGATTAAATATTTGCAATATGGGAATTATGAAACATTTATGAGGAAATCGTCATAAAAATAAGAAAACGACTCAAACAGGTTTGCAAATTTCTCTACTCTCCAAGTGCATTGTCAACAGAAACTTTGTATAATAATATTATATCCCTAATTTGATATCTTAATTCCTTTTAAAATATAATGGATTTCGCATTAAATCACTTTACAATGGTCGAAGGAAAACATGATTTTAAGAGGAACATGACATTAACAGAAAAAAACATGTTTTTCTGACGTTTACAGCTGTCAAAACCCGAAAGTGCATATTTAAATGTCCAAGTGATATTTTTTCTTTTTTTCATTTATTTAAGTACTGAACTGTTATCAGATGCAGTATACAGTCGATATGAATGCAATTTATGTGACAGATAATAGAATGTCGCCCGTTAGCGACATGAATATTTATCTGTCACCCAAATTGCATTCATATCGACTGTATACTGCATCTGATAACAGTTTAATGCTTATATCTACATTTATATAGTTTATTTTGTATAGTAACGGAAGCAAAAATACGTTAGAATTTCCCGTTTATCATATCATTGATGTCAGTAAGTTCAAATCCCAGAGCAGCCGTATTTTCCAAAAGAAATAATATAATCCCTCGTGTCATTGCAAACCACACGCACATAAAATGGTTTGAACACAAACTTAACTGTATTACTTATTTCATATGAGTGTGTATATGTTGAGAAAGTGTTAATTATTGCATAACTTCTGCTTGTTTAAAATTAAAGCCGTTTTTTGCGCATTGATAGATTACATGTATTTGGAAGTGATGCGGCGCTGAACGGACTTGATTGTTTCCTCGGAAACGCTTATGTTTCTATCGACTGGAATATAACGTTATTTTCAGAAGCATATATACTCGGAAATGTTTAATTAAAGTGGTCCTTTCAATAGTTGATAACGATTCCAAGGACATTTCGTTTGAAACAGATTCCATGTCTAATCGGTCAGATTAGCATCGCTAGCAGACGACGTTCACAGGGACTCGGTTTCGTGATTTTGAGTAATGGATGACATCACTGAAGAACCACAACACTTAAAAAGATATTTATACACATTCTTAAACCTTGTCGATACCCTGGACTTTTACAAGGTTTTATAAATGCTGAATTTTAGTGTTGTGGTTATTCACTGATGTTATGCATAACTCAAAATCTCTCAAAACCGAGCCCCTGTGTGATTACGTTGACAAACTTGGTAATTTCGTGTCTAGAATGGCGCTTACAATAATTTTGTGGTACCTACACATCTTATAATACATTTATATTGTCATAATTTGTCAAGTTGCTTTATTTTTTGCGATGACCTACATTGCTAAATGCTAACGAATCCAGAAAGTTTACTGACTATAGGCCTATTGTATCGGATGTGACTGGCGGCCGTGTTTGTTTACCTTGTACCAGCTGTATTCCTACACTGGCTGTATCACTGTACATTGTAGTATACAGTCTCATATACTGCAATTTGGTTTACTAACGACATATAGGTAAATGCAACACAGAATGCAAATATAATTAAATAATATTTTTATCACTATTTCTTTTGTTACTTAAATATCTTTTTCATTTAAAGTTTCATGCTAGGTATTTCTAATTCGTTATCCGTAGTAAGCCAGATTTAACCTTCAATGTTACCGCTAAACTGATATGTTTCGAGTGACTAATTACTACACTTTCACAAATAATAGTGAAAACGTTATTTGCCATAGAATTATGGTACGAACTTAAAACGTAATAAATTGCTTAACTCGATCACCCCTGAAGACACATTTGAACTCTTCCAATTCAAAGGTAAATTTAGTTCATTGTGATATTTCAGGGGTGACTGTGTTTAGAAGTAAGTAGTTTAATGCTGCACAGCAACTGCGTCTTTATATCAAAATAGCCCCATACAGCTGGGTCATTTATTTAATTGGGTTTGAGCGGCATGTCCGCTTTCGGTGACCGCAAAACATTTAAAGGAACTGAGAGCCGAACTTGTATTTAACCCGGATTGAACTCCCACATGGATTCTTACATAACTTCGTTAAGTCTGTGCGTCATACATGTCATACTGTTGTCGTAGCTCAAGCAGGATATAGTGATTTGCAATTTTTGTATGTTATACCAATGATAACATAAACGTGAATTGCCGCCGATCAAAATGCTGTTGTTGTTTTTTATTTCATATGTTCAACTTCCTTACAGTAGAGAAAAATGATTCCAATCTCGAATGATATAGTCGATAGAATTTGCCGATCCGCTTTATGTTAAATAATATTATTAGCGCTGTCAACGGTAAGTATTTTTCAAAAAGGTCGATTTTACATAATGCAAATGAATTGTAATGATAACGTTTAACGGGAGGCTTTCTTTATTAAACGCATATTGCATACATCAATAACTAACGCAAAATACACTGATAAAATATTAACTGTTGGATGGTAATGCAAAATCATATCAGCAAAGTGGTCATGTGAGTTAATATCCATTGATTACATAACGTTTACATAAAGTAAACATAACATTATCATAATTTTTTTGTAACAAACTTGTTTTTTTCGCCTGTGGACTTATGACCAGATAAGTATAACGTTGCAATCGCCATACTTAACTGCATCCTGCACAGTGCTACAGGTATGTGTGAAAAACTAGTGTGTAAGCTGTGCATTTTTCAGATAAGAGCTATTTCACAAACGATAAGTCTGCGTATAAGGATTTGATATCAAACCACAAACTGCACCTACCCAACATGGCGGGTTTGTTGTCTAAACGGGCCAACAAAGCCTTGGGGAATCCGGATTTCTTAGTACGTTACCTCCTAGAAGCACTTGGTAATGCATACGACCTAACAGACAACCCTGGTGTAAGTATACGTCATAATTAATACACTAGATGATTTAATTTTGTGTTATAAAAATATTTTTTATCTTAAATAATCAACTGAATATTTATATAAATCTCTCTTATTGTCCTTATTGTCACAAAAGTACTTTGTCGAACATGTTTGGAAATAATAATCCACGACACATTCGGAAAATGTCAAAGGCTTATGGCGTAATAAGGATAGACTTGTTTTAGTTTTGTGATTTTTTTTATAATAAGCATTTATAAATCTTACGTTATTTTTGAATTGCAGGGCATAGTCAACCTTGGTACGGTGGAAAACAAAACATGTGAGGACATATGGCTGAAAAAGGTAAATACATATCTAAAACTAAAATTTCTCATATCCCACCTAAGGTATAGCAAACTTATATGAGACCTAATATAAAAGTATGCCTCACATTTATAATAGCCTGTCTGATTGGATGATATTGATCCCATGACGAGGCAATAAGATAGTATGTGGTCATCAAGTGATCAAGTCTCTCCGATAATATTTTCCACAATCGGAACCTCTTTAGAAAAAATGGGCAAGAGCCACCGCAACCGAGTTCTAAATGATAAGAATGACGCGTCAACCTAATCGTCATTATTATTGGATTATTGTTTAATTTGGCTAATAAAATATGTATTGCTCCTGTTGTAGAGAAACATGATTCTTTGTTTGTCCTCGATTACTCATGTTTAACTCGTGCTTTATCCTCGTGAACATGATTAATCAAGGAGAAACATAGAATCGTGTTTCTTTACCCAAGTGCAATTAATGTATAGCATCGCTTTTTTACTGCTTTTTTAAGAAATTGATGTTTTAGCAAATGTTGTTATAGTCCTTTAACGCACATTGCTATTGATGACAAAATTTAAAAAGCCAGGTAGGGCTTAATGTGAGTTTGTCAGCAATAGAAATTTGTGGAAATCAAAATCTATTGAAAATAAACCATGCCTCTGCCTCTTGCTACCTGTTTGAAGTTTAACTCACAAAGTTTGCAATGCATTTGCATCCGGGTTGTATATATATTTCATTCTCCTATTACATAAGCATGTATCGATCCTTTACCCCTATGTGGTGTTTGGACTGTTTATAAAAAAAGGGAAGATAGGCATACCTGGAAACCTATTCATGGCAATAAAGGCATACCATTACGTGTGTTTAATGTTTGCATGGTGTTTTTGTCCAATGGATAAATGTAAAAGGAATAATATCACATACACAAGTAACGAAGATAGATTAAGAAATGAGGTTATCAACCGATTCAAGTAAGCGATTGAGGTTCAAATAGGTCAACATTAAAGAAGGTGTATCGCCTATTCTTTAAAGCATGTTTGATATGCATTTTGTTGTTGTAATGCATATAAAACAGGTAAACGCTATCCGAACAGTGTGTTGTTACGAAGCTATCTAACTGGATTTGATAGGCTTCAGAATTCCATACGGGTGGTCCAAAACCTAATTGGCGGCACGAGGTTATTCTTTGTGGTAAAGGACATGTATGTCTTAAAATTCTGTTGTTGTCAGCTGTTTCTTGGACTACATATTCTGTAATAAATTATACATTAACAACTATACCTTTACCTATATCGTAAAAAGCCTGAAAGAGGTGGCAGTGTGGGTGGTCAGGTTGTACAATGGTTTGTCCACTTGCCTTTCACAAGGCGGCCGGGATTATGAAAGGTCGTGAAGAGATATTAAAGGGCCATTTGATTGACCATGTTGGCTTTCTCATGCACGCTTCAATTGTGGACGACCCTACCACAAGTTTGGGTAAAGAATAGACCTGCATGTCTGTTCCAAGCAAAATCTAGATTTTCTTCAGTGTCATTGCTAAGGGGACATTGAAGAAACCAAGATTGGTCTGCTGCTTGCAATATTTGAGACCTTTTCTTTGTACTTCCTACCAATTGTTTTTGCTTCTTAGCTCCTTCCATAGCAATGCCTCTCATTTGGCCTTGTCATTGAATATTCGCCCAATTGAGTAGGCAATGGGTTTTATCCCCAGGCCGGGACATACCAAAGTCCTTAAAAAGGAATTTGTTATTCACTGCTTAACGTTTAGCATTCAATGTGGTCGCAACAACTGGTTCACCCGTTTTCAGAATAATGTGACCGGACGGAATGCTTTGCTTGGGGTGTTCGGCTCATTTTTTCAAAGGGGTAGCACTCTAAACTCGGCATCAGATCCTCGCTATCGCTAGTAGGCAAATACAACAGACCCTGCCTCCAGCACACATACATACATGCAAACATGCACAACACACATGCTGGCACCACTTTAAATGACATTGGCTGTGAATAGGGCGTTTAGTTAGTAGTACCTAAACGTGAAAATAAGGAAATACAACCAGAAATCATTTGAAACTCATAAGAGTACTTACAGTGGCACCTGATTTAATCACGCTTGAACATTTCGATTACAGGCATTTTATTTTGTTGATGTAAGGACGTCCGAAATTATATAGACGTGTGTCATGCGTGATGTAACCGTACGTAACCGCTTTGATATCAGGACGTCAGGAATGACATTAATGTTTGTCATGTATCCATAATCAAAAATATATTTCATCGTGCTGATATTAGGATGTCAGAGGCTATATCATTCAGAGTCGAACAACAACTTATTTATATTAAAGTCAAGTTGTCAATTATTATCATTGTTTATCTATACATCAACATATCTTATGATCAGACAACAGACACACTTTTTTTGTTCCGACTTTGCCACACATTCGCATGTGCACACATACATTACACACATGGAGGCACGTCCTCAAATGACCTTGGCTGTTTATAGTTTATAGGACGTGAAGCAAACTAAAATCAAACCAAATCAAAACAAAGCCGACGTATCGTAATACGTTCCCGATATTCCACGATTTGTTATAAGTTTTATGTTCAGGTAGAGGAATTGGCACCATCAATTGTCGAGAAGTCATCGCTGTACTATTACAACTTATCGGGACTTGACACGTAAGTTTATAAAATAAATACTGGCACATTTTACTGAAAAATAGCTGTGGTTGTTCCACACACATATTCTGATATGAAAACCTGCAAAAGCGTCGCTTGCTTTTTCGTGTTCGCCTGTTTTAACGACGTTCGTTGTAGTTACATGTTCAATGATGCAATATTTAGGTTGCAAATAAGATACAGTTTTCAAAGTTTCATATAAATTGCATATTCATTCCTTTATATGCATTCTGTTTGCAACAAACATGTACTTGACCGGCATGGTTTTATTGATGATGGGAAACTAACAAAGGTTAAAACACCAAAATGGTAATGTTAGCTTCTGTTCATATTGTCAAGTTGTAATATTAGCATGGTATTTGAATGTAGAAGTGAAGGTTTATCAACATGTTTGACAATATTTCGTGTAAAAACTTAATTTTAAAACAACATTTGATGTTACAGACTACGTCGAAGCATTGGCGAGTTTTTGGCAACTAAGTTAGAACTGCCAAAGCCTCTTGATCCTGAAAAGGTATATCTATTTATCAATTTTTCTTCTTTCTTTCTTGACTATTTTATTTTTGTATTTACACCGTACAATTATTTACATTAGTAGCATGATGTAGAAATTCATTAGTCTTTATATCAATTAGTAAGCGATCTGCAATTATATTCTATTTTGGAAAATATTTATTTTCGCAATCGGTCTTCACATTACGTTCATCCGTAATGTCGGTTCGGATATTCCCCCTTTTGAAATATATACTGATGTATCCTATCTAAATACATATTGATATATCACTTTATTAAAATGCATGCTGACATTGACCTTATTTAAATTTCTTTATGAATTGTTGTCACCTTGTAATAGTTTATGAATATATCAGATGTCCGACTACGGAGTATTGATTATAATCTATGTTCAGTCTCGTTACTATATTTCAACTACAACAGTTGTTTAGACCGATTTTGATTTCCACCGTTTTGGTCCCTTACATCACCGATAAGTCCTAGAAGGACGAAACAGCTTGATTACTTTTGTTTTAGGCGTACAATCTCTATTACCAATTTGTATAGGTGCGATCACATATTGGTGTCTTTTTTATCTGTTAAGATACCCGAGGGTTGCCGTAACTTGATGGTCACAATTAATCTCGTTTGAGTAGCGACAAAGCTCATGATATACACATTTTACTCACAGTTATTTCGAAATGAACCAGCACTCCTCAAACTTTAGGAATTCATATAATTAAGCTGTTTTACGGACCCGATCTCCCATTCTGTTTCAACATTATTATGGAATTTATATTCCCGCTTCTTTTGGTCCCCAGCATCACCATTGAGACACAGAAGGAAACAGCTTTATAGCGCAGTGTAATTACTATTGTACATATTATATCTATTAACATTTTTATAACAATAACATGTTTTTGTCTCAAGTATAACCTTCAGATAGAGGCTGGAGTTAGTCATATTCCGTAATCATATGTTAGATATCCTTTGTTTATAAAATGATGAAAAGTTGGGGACCAATGTACCATAAATCCAACAATATGATTTATTTAAATAGACACCACCTTAATTAATAGTACACAAATCTTCCTATTCCAATATTTGTGTGTTATTGCTAGATACCCAGTACCGCTGTCTGTCAATATAGTTGGAGTCACATTCTTTTTACTTTTAGATAATCCTACTTGATGGAGTTACCGCTATACTTAACGCTGTAGCACTGGCAATCGCAGATGAAGGCGGTAGGTTACTACAAACTATTACAATGTAACTGGCGACGTCATAGTTGTCCAGGTTGTGTGTTACATGTACTTGAACAAAGATTATGTGCGGTAGGGATATCAAAAAGTATCTTCGCTGGAAAATAAAGTCACCATCGGCAAAGATGATAAAATCATATCATAGTTAGATAAGTATAATAGGTAGCATGTGTTTTATTTTTTCAAACGACATTTACATATGAACAAATACGCTATTCATACTGGTATTTGACCAGTAATTTTTCGAAAAGGCAGTATCAACATATATCTTTAATAGATAAATGAACCTGACTGATATTGTATTATTCAAGGTCAATTGTGTTAAAACATACATAGTTAAACAGCATTTTCAAACGAACCCAGACACCTATAGTGTTGATTTGTTGCATGCAATTGCTGGGATGAAGGTTTATGAACTTGTTTGCCTTTATTACTTACAATCAACGCAGACTGTCAAATATAGTAAATTTTTCAAACAATTTCTAATGAAATTTGAGGAATAGAATTGTGATTTTTGGATTCTCTTCAGATCGTTTAAAACTTCATTTTATCCAAGTTCAATATCACTGATGTTAAATTAAAAACAAAATAATGATAATAATACAGTCGTGATATTTGTCTCAATTAACTTGAAAAAGTCCTAATATTAAGTGATACTAAACAATATCTTTAACCCTCATCTAAAGGAACAGTATCAAACTATATATTCCTTCTAACGTGGCTTGAGGCTGAACATCTTGACTGGTTAAATGTCAATCTAGTTGAGAAGAAATGCAATCCATTTTAACTCCAGCATTTTAGCATTTATATTTCAAACGCAAAATACTTCATGAGCGATAAAGGCCGCTTAGAGTTTCGCTTACTTGTTAGTATGCTCCAAGTTACCGGGATTCGCATAAATCATCAGTCTTTGATTAAACTATTAAAAATAAATATGTCCATGACAGTAACAATTCAGCTTAAAATTGACGTGTTAATATGTTTTAGGTATGCAACTGGTTGATATTTCGATTTTACTCATTAAGTTTTAGTTGCTAGTTTTCATTTTAACTGAATGACATTTTACTTTTAACTTGTTAATTTGTGTTGGCTTTTTTCATTTTACGTTTAAAGACATTGTAATTGTGGTCCGTTTAAAGCCAGCATCTCTGATTTTACAGTGTTTCTCCTTCAATATCCATAGATACCATATTGTGTCCAACGCCCTCCTTTGGACGTTTCCTTAACGATATAGGAGATGTGGCTGGCGTTCGTTTCTACAAAGTTCCAATGTTTGAGGTATCACCTACTTGAGAATTATAAATCTACCAATCAAAGCATTTCCACTAATGCAATTCCATGTCATGGTATATGTTGTTTAATTATCTATTTTAATGAATTAAGTTTTAAATACCGCATGTAAGAGATATGCACTAACTTAATACGAAAAATAATTCATAAATAATATTATTTTAAGGATCCTTCCCCACTGCATTAGCCTCACATTTATTTCGTTCTGGATACAACTGTAGTGGCGCTACTCTCTTCACAAAGTTGTTGATTTCATTTTTGGTTATTTCATCTTTATTTTATTTTTATCAAAGCTCCCGCAGGTATGAGTTTCCCTACCAAAATGATATATAAAAGCTATTGTCATCAATGGCAAAAAACATTGATATTTATTTTTAAAAGTTTAGGCAGTGGTACACGGATCCTTAATGTCACCTAATCGAAAATATAATACTTCATATATTATTTTTTCCAGGAGTGTGACACTGGAGATGCAGCCGAATTCCATATAAGTATCATTGAAAAGTACTATAAACAAGCTGTAAGCGAGGTAATTAAATAACGGGGTTTGATAAAGTTTTTTGGGGAACTTGGAATTCAAAATCGTCTTTTCTTCAAATTTGATGAACATATGTTCAATATTCACCAGTTTGATTTATTTACGCCATTCCGTGTCAAATTTATTTATATCATTATGATCTTGATAACAATGATTTTTTTATTACAATTATATGCACATGATAAAAAAAATAGTCATCTGCATCTTTGAAAACAATCGTTCTTTTCTTGCAGGGTCACACCGTGAAAGGGGTTATACTGTGTAATCCTCAAAATCCTACAGGAAAGGTTTACACGAAAGCCGACGTCTCCAGTCTACTGGACTTTTGTGCAAGGTTTTAAATAGGAATATTGCTGTATTATTTTTAATCTGATCTAGACACTCCGTGATTGTTTTTTAATGTTTTTCTAATTTTATGTTAAATATTAAGCTGTATATTTTAATGATATTGGATATTAATTCTGGAGTGTACAATAGAAAAACATCGTATGTTCATTGTTCAGGTTTCTCTGTTTTAAGCTTATCTATATCGAGACGTTTTTATTTCCATCCTAATTTTCCCTAACTTCTGTTCAGTAAAGGATGCGTTGTATATATTTTGTTGTAGTAAAGAAATCCACATCATTGTCGACGAAATATATGCTCTGTCGTGTTACGACAAACCACAGTTCACCAGTGTACTTCAGTGTGATATTCCTGATCCGAATCGTACACACTTCCTGTGGGGATTCAGTAAGGTTAGTGTGTATCTATCTGTTCAAAAATAATATCTTGTCTTAACTTTTATCATAAGGTATTTACTATCAAAATAAAAATGTACCAACCTCATTTTGGAATACAGCAAAACAAGTATTTGATATCATTATCATAGGTAGTTATCAAGTTATCAACTGAAGTAGCCTAATCGTTTTGTTCACCTTATAACTGTATTCTGTCTGCAGGATCTGTCATTGTCAGGATACAGATGTGGGATGATATACACCCCAAATACACAACTACTGGATTACCTTCGAAAAGTTTCCATGTTCTGCACAATTCCTGCTCCTGTTCAGATCATTTTAAATGGCATTATTTCTGACACAGGTAAGTTCACCGAACATTTATAAATATTAATAGGTTTATATAACAAATTAAAAATCTAGTCTACGATCTAACATGGAAAAGAACACTGCCCTTTTACTGTAGGAAAGCAGGATCTTGATGATCAAATATTGACTACTGAAGTAGGGAGACAACAACTTATAAATCTTGTATTCTCCTGTTTCCTTGAGAATGATAACACACATTACAAACAACACAGACTTTTAAATCCGTTTTCGATTCAGAATGGCTCGACACAGTTTACTTCCCTATATACCAAAAGCGTCTTCGAGAAAATTTTGAAATCGCGCGTGCTGGTTTAGAAAAGCTTGGGATACCAGTCTACAAAGGAACCGCCGGAAACTACATCTGGATGAAACTAACCAAGGTCTGTATGTATTAGAACTAGGTTCGAATAACAGATAATAATTTTATTTTGGCTTTTCCCCCAATGTTATATTGTTTAGGTTATATCGTATAACTTAAAACACAGACAACATAAAAAGTGATAACGTGGTTAACCGCAATGTTTGATGTGGTATTTGTATTTCTAACTTCTGGCTGGTTGAAGTAGACATGCTTCACTAAAAATAGATTTGTGGTCATATAGGTTGAGGTTAAATGATAAGGAAGGTTTTCTTCATAGTCATACTTTCATCGTTACTGTTTTAATAAACTGTAAAAACATTATTTTCTTATAACAGGCAATAGTTTCATCAGAGTACAAATATGTTTTCAGTGAAACATATTATTACGTATTTATGTTGTAGTATCTACCAAACAAGACAACTGAAGAGGAAATCGCCTTGTTCCAAAAGATACTACAAGGCGGAGTGTACTTGTGTCCTGGTAGTGAAATGTTCTGCCATTACCCCGGATGGTTTCGTCTTACCTTCACCACTTACAAAGACCACGTGATAGAAGGTGACTTTAATTGAATCAGTATCTATTCTAATTTATCAATTTAATTTTCAAAATTATCATATCAGAAGTTGCATGACAAAAACATTCGTAAAAAGCAAACAGCTTATACAGATCCATTATATTTAATTTTTTACTTTGCTTTTGAAGAAACACTTATATTGGCATATCATCCAGACTGACAACGTCTTATCATAGTTAGATAAATATTAGCAATGACCATGTAAAGGGTACATATATTCATAGTATTTTTAGATTCATGAAATCTCATTAACAATGCGGAGCAAAGGTCGGAGTTTAAAAAAAAGTAAATGTCATAAGGCTGGTTTCAAAAGTCATGCTGATAATCGACTGCTTGGTGTATGATGCCCCTAGGTCAAGTGTATCCCAGGTGTATCAATTAACCGGTTGGTCTATAAGACACTTTATCCTTTTATTTCATTTCGCATTAGAAAATGAAATATTTTGGTTCATGTTGTTAACTTGAACATTTAATTCGAAAGTTGAACATATAAAAGTGTTTTATCTATTTAAATTTTAGTATTACCCATTGTAGGTTTGAAGAGGATGGAACATGTCCTGTCCACTTGTTGATTCCTGAGAGTATGCTGTGTTTCACGTCAGTTCATCGACATAAAGTATTAATGAATTGACTGTACCTTGGCCAAGCATGCTTTCGTAGGAAGACCCACATGAACATACCTAGATACTGCCTTAGGTTTGATCTTATATATGTACTTATAGCCCTCAAAATTAAAACAATCCTTTAAATTCAAAGATTAATAAATAAGTGTTGGCTGTTCAGGCAATGTCATTTCGGACAACATTTTGTTACAGGCTAATAATTCAAAAGCTGCTTTCATAAACAACAGCAGAGCAATAGTTCTAGGAAACTCATCTGAATTGAGTATTCTTGTACATCCGGTTTTCCTAGCACTTCCTTTCAAGTTGTCGTGTATCGCCACGTCCTTCCTAAGTTTACGCAATCATTATCCAATTTTATTGGCGGCCTCCTTGTTGCACAAACAGACGACAAGAACATTTACTGAACGCTCCTATCTTACTAAACATAATTTATGACAAAAAAAGCAAAGGACGATGGTTTGTATCATTTTTCTATTTTCATAATTGTGACCTTTTGCTATTGTGTGACACCTATTTATTTTGTGTGTGTGTTTTTGTTGTTGATAATCTTTGCCCGAATGTAATCATTATACTACATTCATACAATTACATAATTTATACATTTTGACCGGAGCTAATTTTTAATGAAGTAATGTTATAAGAAAAATGGCCACCATGAAGTTTTTGCTATTGAGTCATAGGTCACTATTTAATTTTGTTTAACGTTTTTATTTTCCATCATTTGAAAACAGTTTGTCGTGAATAGAAATTATTGAAACAAAGAGTTTGATGTCTTTATTGATGTTTCTTTCACTTTGATAATTTCCGTTGATCTTTATGAAAATTCGACCATGATTCTTACATCAAGTCTGTCTCTCTTGTTCTTCTATGCCACTTCAAACTATTGATACGTTTTTCAATGATGATCCCACCGACAATTTTTTTATATATATTTTTCGTTTGATCCTTAATCCAACACGATTGTCACGGTCTCTGATTCGTTAACTTTGTAACTACAATAACCTTTCAAAATATAACATAGACATTAATATTCCACAACTTCCGCCAAATTTGTAAGCGGAAATGCATATTTTAAATAGTTATCAGAGATCAAAGGTCACCATATGCTATATGGATTTATGAACCTACAAATTCTTCTTAAGTCAGGGGAGGTTTAGAATCTGAGACGTTAGGCTTTATGATACTTTATGTAAGATGACTTCTGTGATTGATCTCGAGAGACTCGCATCTGCCATGTACTCGTCAACTTAAAGTATTTGAGGAAGGAGTTAATGGCCTGTACTTAATAAACATATTAATCTTTATTCAGCATTGCTACTGAAATGCATGGATATATGTAACTAGCTGTCTCTTTATCATGCGACTCAAATAATCTTATTATATATATATCTGAACTTGCCTGCCGTTGTTATTTAAGATTTTTTAAACACCAAATCACGTGGTAACCCACATGGGAAATAAAAACACACAGTGGAAATATACGGGACTACTCACAAATAAGTTTCCGGAAAAACAACCCGATGCAACAATTTGATCAAATTACCTATACATATGCAACACTGGTGAAGTTAAAAGATTGTTAATTATCATGTTAGAAGATGAAAAAGATTAAATCGTAATTATCTCCCATAAAGTTAGGTGGGGTTTTCTTTTGTGGCGATTACCAAGTTGAAAGGGATGGACCGCAATGCATTTGTTTATATATATATATATCAAACGGAGAGTTTGAGTCCGAATCATGATCATAGTGTCCTTACAAGGGGAGTTAACTAGAATTGATTCTTAATTTGAGTTAACTGCCTTCAAACGGTTCTCAGCATGGTGCGATTTTCAGCACAGGATATTGTTTTCAGCTTTGAAATTCTTGTCCTGTTCACAAGTTCTGGAAAGCTAAGGACATATGACTAGCTGAATAAGAGGACTATGATAATTGTAAAAATATATTAAGTTGCCAGTCTTTCAAGTATACATTGTACATGGATCAAATTTATGTTTAAACATTCTTCGATAGAAATCAATTATGCAAACAATTTCATATATCCAAAAAGAAAATGTGCACAATTTCATTTATATGAAAAGGGATGTTTAAAGGCATTTCACTACATTTCAAAGATGACAAACGCACAAAAACCAAACCTGTACTATAGATTTTATTCCCTGGAAAATCAAAAGAGATACGTATTTTTATGATATTATGATGCAAGCATCCTGATATTTGATTTAGAAATTACAATTGAAAAGAGTTCGTGATCGCAAATGCTGCACAAAACAACAAGACAAATTATTCTGTCATATACAAAGACAGATTCATATCTTACACGCGTGTCTCATCACCTTTCAAAGTCGCACTCACAGAATGATCAGAACTACATACATCCCACTCCAATTCTCTCGACATTACAAACATACTTCGAGATACATAGTACATAATTGTACAATCCACGGACATAATTAGCAATTATGGTAGATACCACTTCATACATCGAGGTATATGTTACATATTGCGTGACAATGGTATCATGGGTATACTATGATATGTTTTGAAATTTATGGTACATTCTTCATGATTCGTGATTATGGAATAAACCACGGATACACATTATATTATTTTTTTATTAACACTGAATTTCAATCTGCAATTAAACAGAAATTTCTACTTTAACAAGTGATTTGTCAATAATTTTCTGCAGTTCAAAATAATGCAATTTGACAACATGTCATATCTCCAATTTACATCTCTGTGTGTGATGTTGCGGCACCAGGACACTAACTAACGTCGCGACATACTCGACGTTTTCCTTCTCTTCGCTGGAGGAGGTGCATCGGGGCCACTGGTGGTTGGGGAGAATACTCTAGTTTCAATAGACTGGAGAGAATGGTAGTTATCCATCATTGGTTTTGCCTTTCTCCAAACCTAGGATAAAACGTTATTGTTCATCTGATTTATATTAGTTTGCGGATGTGCGTACTTCCTTCAATAATTTATTTCTGTGTCAATTAAAGCACAAAATTGTCATTTGCACTAAGATTTCGATAAGAAATCAGAAAAGCGTATATTAAGTATTTTTTCATGTCTACTATGAAAAAATTGTTCAAGCAATTCGGTGTGAAGCATTAAATATATCATTAATTCGATAACACCACTTTGAACTAAATTCTATTACCTGTTCCTCTTGTAACATCTTCGTCACAGATTCAATATCAGGTGTCATGTAGCGGTCTTTATCCCAGGGTCTGAATTTTGAATACAAAATTGTAAAATTAGACTTGATTTTGCGAAAAATATTGCTTCGATGTATTTGTGAAATATCGCAATATCAGCCATTATAAGCGGTTTTTTCATGAAAAAATAAATTCACACAACTGCAAAATAACGGTTATGATTTGGTCACTGATGTATGTGTCTATATAATAACCTTACCCAACTTTAGTTCGAACCAACTTGTAGACTTCTTCAAGTGGAGGAGTAGATTTCAACGGCCGCAAGAACTCGATCGCCTGGCATGCTGCTAATAATTCTATCGCCAGCACTGGTACACAATTGATAGAATCATGTCATGGTTTCGTACAATGAAAAGTAAGGTCCATATGGCTAAATTCAAAATGACATTGTCGTGGCTTTTAATAACTTAATTATCACCCTACTTTGGTGTTACTATAATAGAACGTTATCGTTCAAAAGCAATATCATATTAACAAGTCTATAAAACCTTTTGGATTAATTAACGGATGATGTTTATATAATTATTAAACAATAATAAAGTCATTGCATTTAGGTAATTTTTGATTATAAACAACGCATACATAAAAATAGGATAACTCGAATATCACACGTATAGATTCGGAAAAAACATAAATGTATCAGATCTACCGGGGTATTAGACCTCTGAAAATATTAAATTGTTGCATATCCCAGCTGTGGTATTCAAAGAATATTGATTTAGAAAATCTCAAAAGAACTTTTGATAAATATTGACATTATTTCCTCAAAACTGTTTCTTTTTCAAAATATTTGATATCTTCACGCTATATATTAACATACCCAATAATAAACTGAAGAAACGCCTGCGTTCTCTTGGTAACCGTAGAGTACGCTCTTGAACAGATTTATTATTTCTCCTCAAGGTGTATAACCATTATCATTTGATGCTCTATGTTTCCAAGAATAATCTATATGAAAACCTGACAAAGTTGTCTGATTTCACAAATTCCTCTAATTCCTGAAAATATTAAAAACAAAAACAAAAAATTCACGATAGAAGTGATCAAATCTGGGCGTAAATTTAAGTTTTGTTGTGAGAAGCAAGTTATTTCCTATCCTTTAATCTAATACAATGGTTCACTTTTTTAGTGCTAGGGAATAAAATTATGTATAAAAGCATGGCGTAGGAGTCCCATACCTTGCTCAACATGTTCAACTACACGCAGACATTTTCTAGCGGCGAATCCTCCCATCGACACGTGATCCTCCGTCCCCGCACTCGTTGTCAATGAGTCGACAGACGCCGGATGGCACAAGACCTTGTTCTCAGAGACTAGTGAAAAATTTAAATGAAAAGTTACTTCGATAGATATTAAATACAGATAAATGCAGCTCGTGCTAAAGAAATATATTTCATGTAAACCAGGACATAATTGCATGTTTTAGGTAAGAGGGATATTCGGCTAATCACTGTTTGTGTTCACATTCGATATCCAAAATACTCGATAGCATGGTAAGACACATTAATTACGTTTAGATACTTAGTCTTGTACTTAGGAAATTTATAAAAATGGCAATTTCTCTTTTATCTGTAGCAATCTAACGAATATGCATACGATTAAATTATATTGCATTAACCTTACCCAAGGAGGCGGCAGTACAGTGGGCAATCATGAAGCCCGAGTTGAGACCGCCGTCAGGTGTTAGGAAGGCTGGTAACTCACTATAAGCTGGAAAAAAACATTTTCAATTTTAAACCTCCAATAACATAAGTTGTTGTTGGCATTTTGTATAATTTATTATAATAATGAAAACAACTCAAATAAACGTTTTACTATGAAACCACGGTGCTATATGTGCATTGCACAAAAAACACTTTTAACCGAAATGTGACTAGTGATATTAAAATAAACCATGGTAATTATCCATCGCAAATTTGAAAATTAAAAATTAAAATAATTCTTTAAGTCTTATAACATACAGATCTGACATAAGGAGCGTAGCAGGATTAAGCAGAAATAGTGAACTTTTCACCGGGATTTCTCTCGGAGTCTCTCTGTATGGTACGTTATACCTTACCTGGGTTAACAAGTCTCTCGATACGCCGTTCACTCATATTTGCGAGTTCATGAACACCAATGGCAAGGTAATCCAGAGCCTTAAACAATTAGGTATAAGAGAGTTGATTATACAATGTCACACAATCTAGGAGTATTAGAAAATGAACGGGGGTACCGAATCGACTAATGAATGCTCTTTGTGCGCCGATAATCTATTAAAATTGGAACTGCAAGATTTAATTTGTGAAAATATATAGTATTATCATACCTTTGCTGGATATTCTCCGTGGAAATTTCCCCCTGATATGATTTCTTCAATATCAGCAAAAACCATCTATTGCAAGTTTAAGGAGTAGTTTCTTCATAGATATAAATATCACATTTAATTCAATTCAATTTAATATAAAATCTCTTTCAGTATCAACACATAAAACTCAGAAATGTTCCATACAGTTCAAATACGGTTGTCTCTGCTCATAGGACCACCCCTTATTAACAATAAAATAATCAATGACACCACAATTTTTCACCCCTTAAAAGCAGTTTATATATGTATACTCTTTTTGAAGACACTCTCTGATTATAGAAAATTTTAGATTTCCTTTGAGTGGTCTCTGCATACAGTTAAGTATTTATGTCGTAATTCTCATTTTAAAATATGAGCTAGAGAAAATGGATACGGGGTTATCCGTAGCACTGTTGATTTCCGTTGTAAGAATTCCCTTCACAAATTCTATAGTGTCGTTCACTATTCCATGGACCTGAAATATATTAAATAATTTAACAATGATAAATTAAGCTCTATATTTCGCTATACGGTATAACTTTAAAACAATTAATGGTTCCCTGTAAGTTTAACTTTCCCTTTTTTCGCTTTCCGTTATGAGTCATTACAATGGCGAATGTCATTGCACAGTTTACTTTACGTACTGTATTTCTACTGAGAAGGGTGAAATTAACACCAGGCGTTTATTTCATTATACGTTTACCTGAGGACAACAGCGAAGAGTGTAGGCGTCCTGAACCTTATCGCAGAATCTATGGCTAGCTGAAATGGTAACACAGAAATATATTCACCAGAATTTAAACTGAAAATTTTATACTGTTAACATGTTTTTGTAACATTACGAATGACAACATTTGGATTACCCCGTAACCTCAGATAAATCTGTATTTTTTGTTTTGTTTTAAAAACTGCGTACAGATAATCGTTCGACGTACATTTACATCAAACTTTTGCCCGATTAGCCCTCTGTCATGCGGCTGAATGTGTCGTGCCTTTGACTATTAGTACACAGTATGGCTTACAAAGCACTTACAATGTAAAAGGCGAAATCAACACAGTGCTTATATTGATTTTGTATTTCCTTGTATATATTTGTCAAGTATCCATTTCATAACACACCAATATAAGTGGTAATTCTGACAAAATATGATAGAATTAAATGGTTGGTTTCAAATCATATGCAGGAACATGCTTGTGTCCATTAGACACGTTTACGGTATCCATTTTAAGATATGTACCAGCAATCTCGGATGGGTGTGTTTCGGAGTGGAGAAGCGATCGTAGTCTTCTGGCGACCTTGATTTGACCCTTGTGTGGCCGGACCTCATGTATGTCTGCCAAACAGAAAATAGTTATAAATTCTTAGAGATATTTATATCATTAATGAGAAATTAAAAAAATGAGAAATTAAAAAAACTGAATTGCGCTACACCACAATAACTTGAGGTCATAGAAAAAATGGAAATGGTGTCATGACAATAATAGAATGAAAGCCACAACTAAAAGACTGTACTTCATTAAAGACTGTACTTCGATTAGCTCCAAAAAGATTAAAGTTATTTCAGTGATGCATTTATCACAATCAAATTATGAAGGTTAAGAAATGCTAACTTTTGTACAAGTGTTTTAATGCTGACCCGTATGATAAAATGTTTCTTCAAGAAAATTGGTAACATTAGTTCTATCCGGAGTTGAATGACCTATTGTATACCTGGTGAAGGTAATATTGATTTAAACCATAGACTCACTGCTATCAAATGCTCTAGTTGTGCCCTTCAGGACATCCAAGGTGAAGGCCGCGACGATATCCGCCTGTCGTGCGATAGCTTCAGCTCTCTCCACCGCTGTAACATTACATAACTTAGGACATCACATTATTGTTACGACAAAACATTTTCTTATTTCATTGCAATTACTACATTTTTTTTCTTTTAAAAATGCACAATTTTGTCAATGGAAAACTGTTAATTTTGAATTGTATCTCTGCCTACCTTCCGAGCCCAGTCCGGCTATAAGCTGTGTTCCGTTGATCAATGCAATACCCTTGGAAGAGAAGTTGAAAATTTACATATATTGTCCAATCGCTGTGCATTTTTAATATATTTTCACGCCATAATACTTTAATTAGCATAATCATGACATATTCTGTTCTTTTCCTCATATATCTTTGACAATAAGGGGGAGGGGCTCAGTATTAACAAATTGATATTTCGTGAATATTTAATGCATATTTTATATATATTTATAACAAAAAGTTCACGAGATTTCTTTCTAGAATAGCTGTCAATACATTAAAAGATAAGACAATATACAACGGGTGCATATTTCACTAAATTTTAACGGTATTCTTATGGTAAATATTATGTACTTATATCAGCACATTCAGAAGCATGGCCATTAATGTAACACAGTCAATGTTACGACGTTGTGTAATTGGTTACGTATATCGGTGAATCCAGGATTACATAAATATGATCTTCAAGTCTCAACTGACCACCTTTGAACGTACCAATAGATCATAATCGGGTATACATATAACCTAGAAAGGAGATAAGGAGAGACGAGCAAGAGACGGCGAGGGAAGAGACTAGAAGGGCTAGGGACGTTTAATACCAACGACAGAGACCGATCCCCACACTTGAGATTAATAAACTTCTAACCAACCATCAACTCGTGCAACTCGTGTTGTGCTACACCATGGTGGTAGTAAAACCCTATCAATCAAGGTACGCAAATGACGCAAAAAGGTGGAAAATGTAACTAGTTACGTACCTTCCAAAAAAAAAAAAAAAAAACTTCAATTTATCTCTATCCGTTATTAATTGTTAGCTAAAATGTTATACATTCAATAAAAAAAAATAAAAAAAAAAACACCTTCAATTTATCTCTACTGTTATTAATTGTTATCTGAAAGGTTATACATTCTATCATACTTACCTCCTTTGGTCCTAATTTTACAGGCTCTAACCCGTTGAATTCCAGAACCTGTAAAGAATAATATCCATTATGTTAATTTCTTTAACTTAGCAATTCCATGAAATATTGTAGTATCTGTTTTGTTTTTAATATTACTTTATATTACCTTAAGTTAACACGATAAAGGAAAAAAGCGAATAGCTCGGTCTTGCATTACATGTAGTCCTAATATTTCCTTTTCTATTCATGTACTTACATATTTTGCATCTGCCCAGCCACTTTTTGGGCTCCACATTTTGCCCTCCCCCATCATGCCGAGAGCGAGATGGGACAATGGGGCAAGGTCGCCACTAGCACCCACTGTCCCTTTTTCGGGCACAAATGGCAAACAGGAAGCTACAAGTGCGAATTGGTACGTATAAACAATTGAACCAAATGTAGCACATCTCGTTTACTTTACATTATATCCAGGTTTGCTAAAATTTGGATAACTAATGTATCAACAACTCAGTGTATTGAAATTGATCATAGACTCAATATCTATTAAAAACAAATGCCAAATAAATGTTGTCAGAAAGAAGGGTTGGCAATTATAATTAACATCCCATAGCATAATTGTATAAGACAGCTAATGAAATATGCCATCTGTAGTATGGGTAGTTTTTTGTAATACCTATCCCGGTGTTCTTATTGCAGTAAATTATCTCTCTATCCCTTTTCTACAATTTGTTTACGGAGCTTTCTCTGTTGAAACACCTTCCGTTTATTCAAAATTCTCTGTCTTACGGTCTTAATTGCGTTTAACACCGTAACGACTTAACGCACAAACATTCTGAGAGAATGGGTGTAAAAATTACAAGGTGTGAAATCCTACCGTTAAAAGCAGCAATGTATTTTTGCAATGTGTCCATGGAGATGCCACTGAAACCCTTCGCTAACACATTGATCCTTAGGGCTAAGACCATGCGAGTTCTCTCCGGGGTGAGCGGGGGACCAACACCTGAGAAAAAACACAGGTTAGTGGACCAATAAAAAAATAACCAAATTGACACATGGTATGAAAGAAAGTTTTGTAATGAAATTACTATGATAATATGATAAAGAATGTATGCCATTAACCCCAAACCCACAGAAATTCTATGTTCTATTGATTCAAAATAAAAATAAAATGGAGCAGAATCTCCACTGAATTACGTTTTGGTCTAATAATCACTTTTGCCGATGAGCGTAAACGTGTCTTTGACTTTGAGCGTAAGATACAATAAGCGGTCTAGATATGTATAAAAAATGATTTATTTACCCGATGAATATTACCTGAACATCCCAAAGTCTCAAAAAGGTAATTGTAAGCAGACACTAGAACAGTATATTATAAGTATTTTACTATTGAAATCCTTAAAATATAAAGTAATTAACCGCAAAATTTCGGACCTTCTTGAAATGATTTCTACTGCTTAATCTAACTATCATAAAAAGTGAGAAAAAAAATCAAATAAGCTATTACGTCGATGAAATATATTGTATTACCGAACAGCATACTCACCAGCAGCGTGAGAGCGAATAAGATTTTCCTGCAGTTCTCTAAAATATTGAGAAAATCAATTTAACAAAAAACAGTGACTGATTTATGTTATAATGTACAGATACAATAACATGTTAGGTATGTTTATGGGAGTTGCCTTATTAGAATCAGTATAGTACTATAGCTATAATATACTAACACGACATTAAGATGCATACTTACATCAGTTTTGACCTTTCAATGATTGTGTTAGCGAATTTTCCAAACCCAGTAGTAATGCCGTACACAACTATAAATAAAAAACAGGAAAGACAATTAACATAAAATTGTATTTGTGTATTAGCCCTTTTAACCTCTCTTGTGTTGATGGGCCGTTGAGCATGATAATAATCGTGAATTGTAAGGTCATTCTTTGAAATGTACTATTTTGTTTTTATTTAACCTTTGATGTGTTTTTTTCCATATCACTAATAAAACTTTTAAATACTAAGTCATTTTTTTCAAAAAGTGTTTATTCAAATGCACATTAGGATATCAGGTATACAGATATATCCATCTTATTTGTAGTTTTGAAGCCTTTCATACCTTAACTTTTATTCGACTTACCTTTATTGGAACTAATGATATCCTCTAAAAGCTTTCTGGCTTTGTTGACCTTCTGTTCAGACTCAACCGTCAGCTTCAATAACAAGTACAATTTAATATGCACATGTACCATTATGAATTTTGTATTTCTATAAAGTCCGCGTTTGATGACATGTTGATGAATTACTCCAGTTATGGTGAACATAATGTGAGAGAAATGTAATGCTTGTTCATCTTCCAAGATAGACGGTGCAGTGTATATGATTCAACAACTCATAATGCATGACTGAGGTGGACCAAACACACACTATTATGTATATGCCTTTACGTCAGTATGTATGGTGCTGTACCTTGATGCTGTAGTAGCCCTTCCCCAGTCTGACCAAATCGTCTGTGGACAAGCTGTTACCATCCAATGACATCACCTACAGGGCAAAATGTAAATGTTTTACAAAAGCTAATAAACTACATTATTGTACTTAACACCGTTCTTGCTCAACCTTTGGGGTTTGTTTTGGACAGAAATGTTGTTTAGGGGTCTTTATGATGATACTTGCCAGACATTCGATAGCCATAGCCTATATGGTCCCTGAAAATCATATTTAAAATAAAACATGTGGCTCTAACTCCTTTTAAAAAAAACTAGATGGATACCTATTTGTGGAGTAAGTACATTGTCGGTCATAAAGGTATGGTTTCACTTTCAGATGTATCAAAAGGAATACGGAAATATGTTTGTCGAAGGAAAAATTAGTATTTACTATTCAAATTGATGGGTCTCAATGTCTCCCATAGACTTCTGTTTCTGTTTTCTGTCATGTTCATTCAAAAGTGCATTTGGACATGACCTTAAGATAATTCAAAACGTTTATTTAAAGACGCCAACAAAATTAGGAGAATTTGTCATGGTGTCCTCAAATGTGCAAACATGTAATCTACACATAGATAATGATGTTTGTAAAACAATGACAGTGTAACTTACTTCCTTAGCAACTTGGACACTTTCCTTTGGTCTGTGTTTCGGTCATAGAAAACAATCACTGAAATATCGACTATGATGTAGTTGGACATTACATTTAAAAACATCCGGAAATACAAATAAGATATAATTACAAAGTAAATGCATGTTAAAAAGTGGTTGTGTGGTGTAAGTAGGCATTTTCAATATCATGATAATTGGCAAGATTATAAACTTGCAAACATTCTGCCGAAGAAGTTTAAAGCACGGCCTTTGATGACTTAACGTTATGCAGCTGTGACCGACTAGTGTTGTACTATACAGTTTTTATATAGACATATTGGAGTAAGTCACTGCCAATATCAAAGACATGTTTGAGGTCGTTTGTTACCGTTATTATTTGATACTCTCCTGGTTTTGAGAACAGAAATCAAATAACAAGTGCCCTATGGCGAGTGCCACTTGTAGTGTCCAATGACAGGTGCCACTTGTAGTGTCCTATGACGGGTGCCACATATATTGCCTAATGACGGGTGCCACATATAGTGCCCAATGACGGGTGCCACATATGTAGTGTACTATGATGGGTCCCACATGTAGTGTCCTATGACGGGTGCAAAATATGGTGTGCTATGACGGGTGCCACATATAGTGTCTAATGACGGGTGCCACATATAGTGTCCAATGACGGGTGTCACATATAGTGTCCAATGACGGTTGCCACATATAGTGTCCAATGACGGGTGCCACATGCAGTGTCCTATGACGTGTGTCACATGTAGTGCCCAATGACGGGTACCACATATAGTGCCCAATGACGGGTTCCACATGTAGTGTTCTATGACGGGTGCCACATATAGTGCCTAATGACGGATGCCACATTTAGTGCCCAATGACGGGTGCCACATATAATGTCCTATGACGGGTGCCAGTGTAGTGTCCTATGACGGGTGCTAAATATATTGTCATATGACGGGTGCCAAATGCAGTATTCTATGACGGGTATCACATGTAGTGCCCAATGACGGGAGCCACATATAGTGCCCAATGACGGGTACCACATATAATGCCCAATGACGGGTGCGACATATAGTGTCCAATGACGGGTGCCACATATAGTGTCCAATGACGGGTACCACATATAGTGTCCAATGACGGGTACCACATGTAGTGCCCAATGACGGGTACCACATATAGTGCCCAATGACGGGTATCACATGTAGTGCCCAATGACGGGTACTACATATAGTGCCCAATGACGGGAGCCACATATAGTGCCCAATGACGGGTACCACATATAGTGCCCAATGACGGGTACTACATATAGTGCCCAATGACGGGAGCCACATATAGTGCCCAAGGACGGGTACCACATATAATGCCCAATGACGGGTGCGACATATAGTGTCCAATGACGGGTACCACATATAGTGCCCAATGACGGGTACCACATGCAGTGTCCTATGACGGGTGCCACATATAGTGCCCAATGACGGGTGCCACATATAGTGTCATATGGCGGGTGCCACATATAGTGTCATATGAAGGGTGCCACATGCAGTGTCCTATGACGGTTGTAGTGCAATATACAATATGAAAATTCTCGAAGCGCATGGTTTCTCCTCCATCTTGCTGTAAGGGTTCATGATGTCTTTCCTTTTTTTTTGGTATCTCCTCCGTCCCAGATTTTCTTAACTATTTTGCTGACGTTATGTCATATATTCTTTTTCAAAAGGATACATTTTCTCCTCCCAATAGACGGGTTCAGCAGGTCCTGTGGCGGGGCTCGACATGTCACTTTCAAGGACTGTAAACACGAATGCATGTAGGTACAAATTGAGTTCTAAAGAGATGATGATAGACCATTGATTGATAGCATAGAGCAATAAAATGAAAATCTTTGCTTTAATCGGACGAAAACTTATTAAAGATTATTCTAAATCTGTAGCATTATGAATTTCTTCGCGTACGACGAGATCACTGCGTGAATAGATAAAAAAAAATCACATATTACACATATGTAGAGCCTTATTCTTGTTAGGAATGTAAAATAATATACTGTATCAATATACCCAACCAACCATAGAAACGTGATAAGTAATGGTGTATGTATTATTAAGAATGAACAACACGAACAAACACGAACCGTTTACAGTTTTGATTCAGCGCGTTATTTAGCGATTTTTTAGAAATATAAAACAAATGGCAAGGCAGAGTACGCAGTTTCGAAGTTTCAATGTATTAAGAGAGATTTTATAAGAAATGTTAACTGTCGACCTAAATTCACAATTACTCTATCACAGGAATATCAGGGTCCGAGAAAATAGCTCTGGTTATACGTAATACGTACTTATAGTACTTACCAATTGTAACAAAGTCACTGTCGTCGAGAACATCACGGATTGAGTCGTCAGGATCCAAAATGGCTCCACCCTTGGCTTTTCGTACTTCGAATACTGTTTCTTCGGCGTGGCCGGTGTTACACTTGGATTTGTAGTAACGACGCAAGGATTCCTCCCCAAGCCAATTCACCTTTTCTGATCCCTTACAGGGAACGGCGAACCAGTCCCCGTGTACACGCACAGAAAGTTTCATATTTCAATTAACTGTTAGCTGCCTAGTAAAACGGTTTTAGTTGCCTAATTTAAAACTTTCGGTTCTTTATCCCTCCACTGTGAATAATTGAAATGCCACAATATGTGTCTTCCAAGTTCAAAGATAAGACCTGCCCGATTAGATTGTCATATCAAAGTTTATAACTTGCCTTAAACAGTAAACAATTATAAATAGGTCGCACGTCGCTATCTGAAGGACATCATCATTGAAATTCCATTTTCAAGTCGTGTGATTCCATATGGCTTCTTTCTCATCCCGATAAGAGCAATACTACAGTTGTGCTCTTGACCAAAATATCTGACAAATCCTTTGTATGAAAAAATTGCCTAGCGGCACTATTTGACCATTATATAACGGAACAAAAAAAAAAAAATGATATTCTATCAAAAGAAACACGTTCTATAACAAGCCAACTTAGCATAAGAAAATTGCCAAACTGATAAATAGGATTATATAAGATATCTTTTGAAAAACATCTGATATATGTGTCATTTTTTATGAGATACCACGTGTTTATAAGATATCTTGTTTATATTATAACTTTTTTAACTTTGATGGCTGTAAACATGATTACATGTAGTTACCAAAGGCTCTGGTATCAATTGAATTCTGATGGGAGGATTAAGGAATTAATATATACAGCATTAATTACGATAAGATGGAGCTCCACTTCTGGTTCACCACACAGTGTCCATATGTTAACAATTAAGGTCAGCCAGGGGTTAAAGTTTGTATTTAGCAGCCATTTTTGTGTATCACTTATCAAATATCAATCTGCCAAATACCTTTCGTCCTCTTTGCATGATTTTCAAGGACTGTTGAGTTCTTTTAGGTACATCTATGTGCCGTTTCAATAAAGCTTTCCTTACGAGAGAGAGTATCATTTAAACCAATATATTTATTTATTCTATTTTTTGTGAAGCTTACGAAAAAGATTTTCCTCCCCGGACCCGTATTCATGAAACCGTTCTCATGCTCAAGCATGGCTTTTGTGCTCAAACCAGCTTTCTTGTAACTCACCTAAAGCATGTCAACGATCAAATTAAAAATCAATTGTAAATATTGAAAACATTATTTGGCTTCAAGTCTCTTCAATATTTTCCCAAAACTTTGACAAAATAACTGTAACAATAAGTTAGGCTTGAGCACAAAATCCAGGCTTGAGCATGAGAATGGTTTCATGAATACGGGCCCTGGATACGCGTTTTAAGGAGATGTAGGAACGTTGTTCTTTCGTCATTATTATTGTACTCTTGTAACGCTGCATTCATGTACCAGGTAAGACGGTCTTTCTGAAATTTATTGATACAGTATGCCGAATGATGCATGTCATTACAATTATGTCATCTTCTATGACTATTTCATTTTCTTTTTATTGTAATTTGTTTTATATAGTCGGAGATATTGTTTTATAAAGCGGGTAACCAAGCAGGGGCGAAAATATATATTTACTGCAGTGAGGTTAAGGAATGCGCAAATGGCCAAACTATTGTTAGAAAGTGGTACACTGATCCCATTATTCGGAAATATTTACATTCTGTATGCTTAGACCCATTGACAAAAATTACATTCATAAATGCATAACACAGGTGTTCATAGAATCTCAGCACGTGGGAACTGATAATAACCTGATCACACTGCGTAGTAACACACTACAAAAACTACTCACTCGGAACGACCGACCTAGATGCTTAATTCTTACATCTTAAAATATTATTGAACTGTGCTTTGTGAAATATCCACGTATTCACGTGTCCTGTGCTACAAATAAACATTGAATATGGAACTACATTTTGTTGTGTTATTGTTGTTGACGGTTGCTAAGATCTCTCACGATAGTGTCACATTTCCCCGCGAAAAAACACTGTTCTCGCCACTGCGTTGCACCCGTGTATAAGCAGGAACAAACCCTGTTTATTTGTTTTATTCGTTGTTATATCGATCCACTGAAAGGATTCGTCAATGTAAATGTAAGGAATTATATTTATTTTTTCAACATTTATGAGGTCATAACAACAATGGGGTTTTGGACATATTTTACATGAATCGCTAACGCGATTCATTCAATATGTCCATAAACCCATTAAAATAAAAATCATTCCTTAAATGAAATCGATTTTACAAAATACATACAAAATATATGTATATATACAAACATATGCATATGTAAATACTGCAACTAGCAACTGTTTTCTCATTCTAGGACTGCTTACAGTCAGGGATGAAAGGAGCATATACATGCACATAAATATAAACGGATACTTATTTCGAGATCAACCATGGTACATGAATTTAAGTATAATACTAGTAAATTCCTATTTCCGCATAATAACTGCAACAATGTTTAGCATAAGGGTCATCGACTGCGTTAGATGTGTTCAAACGACCTATACCCGCGAGGAACGGTGTTACTTCAGCTCCAACTCGGTCAGTAACCGGCTTTATAGAACAATATCTCCGACTATATAAAACAAATTACAATAAAAAGAAAAGATAAGTATTATAGTTTTAGGGGTTTTACTTCCTGTATATACATATATCCTCGTCTATAAGTGACTAGTTATTGCATACAATTTTACCAACGACATTTACTTCTGTCGCACTGTCGCGTTATTTTGTCGCACTGTCGCGTACATTTTGTCGCGTTGTCGCGCCCGCCAATGCTACAACGCGACATGGCCAAAACCAGCCATCGTGGCATCCTGTATCAACAGTAAATAGACCCAAACTGCGACACCCATGACTGTGTACACCCTTTACCACGACACACATTGACAACCTTTACCTTGACTTATTTTTGACCATATCACCCTAGACACTATGCCTTGGTAAATCCTGAAGTCTTGGTAAAACCTGTGTCTTGGTACCTGTCCCTCTATAATCAACAGTACATCGCCCTGGACTGTGATACTATGTGACTATGAACACTACACAGTGATACAGTTTATGTGGACAATTAATCGTAAAGGAGTACAGTGGAACCCTAGCTAACTTATGCAGCTAGGCCCAAACTTATTCAGCTTGGTCACTGTTTACCTTTTCAGATGTGGACCGTCAGAGTAAGAGAGAGCGTTTCGTGTGATGGAACCTCTATTGCCTTCTTTATTAGCCATTCAAAACTACCCTTACTTCTAAATGCACAACGAAATTATTAAGGCAAGTCTATACTATAGAAAATGTATTGAGCAATGTAATGAACAAAGAATCAACCACTTTGTTAGCACTAGTATAACAGTAATATAATTAACCACCCTAGATAATCTAAGGGTTACGCTCACTGTCGCTCTCTGCACCCCTGGAAAATTGAAGGGAAGCTACATGTATTTGATTGGTCTCAAGTAAATAAAGCTGTCCTTTGAAAATTGCAGAGGAGCGACATCCGCCTTCAAAACCAGTTAATTTTACCATAACGCGACCGACATATTCTTTTGGTGAACATAAAAAAAAAGAATACATATGTATATGATCATTGGGGGCTGTTTTTTTACCGAAAGTCGATCTTAACCCATAAAACATGTAAAATTACTCTGAACACCTTAGTTTAGGTCCAAATATATAGCTGTAACAAATGTTCAGGTCCCTACATGTGGTCTCGTCCACAAAGGTGACGCACACTGATCCTTTTTTAGCCTTATGAATGTCTCTGATGTTTGGATATTTTGCAGTTAAGAAGTCGATATTTTCTATATTTTTTGAGTGTCTCGGTTGCCATAAACGTTAACGTACAGTCATTACCAGCACTAACCTACTGTGTGATTCCAAGCGTGACACACTATTACCAAAGAATTTTGTTTCAGTGTTAAATATGGCTACATTCGCGTATCCCGGTTGAAACGATACGTGTGGCGCAGAAATTTTCCACGATAAACGAACACAATTGGACCGTTCTGTAAGCAGAGCTAATAATCCACAGTTTCGGAGAATAAAAAACAATGTATCAAGAATATTATGCCCATCTCTCACGCGTCCACTAAATTACATATCGTATCTTAAAAACTACATGTGGCTTGACATTGTTTTAGAAAGAAATAACGCTAACTAGCAATATTCAGCAGTTTAGTTTCGGCCAGGTACGTCTGGACCCCTCAATCTCCACGTATCAAATTTTCCTGAGGTCAGCCTCGGTCCAAATCTGTACCTGTCGTTTTCTTTACAGGTTCAACCGGTTCAACCGTTTGAACCGGATACGCGAATGTAGCCTAGGGCTACATTCGTGTTACCGGTTGAAACGGTACGTGTGGCGCATAAATTTTCCACGATAAACGAACACAATGGGACCGTTCTGTAAGCAGAGCTAATAATCCACAGTTTCGGAGAATAAAAAACAATGTATCAAGAATATTATGCCCTTTTCCCACGCGTCCACTAAATTACATAACGTTTCTTAAAAATTACATGTAACTTGACATTGTTTAAGAAAGAAATACGCCAATTGGCAATAGTCAGCATTTTAGTTTCGGTCAGGTCCGTATGGACCCCTCAATCTACACGTACCAAATTTTCCTGAGGCCCGCCTTGGTCCAAATCTGTACCTGTCGTTTTCTTTACATGTTCAACCGGTTCAACCGTTTCAACCGGATACGCGAATGTACCCTAGGTGTTCCGAAATCCGTCATTCGTTTTCCGTCTTTTGTGCTTACATATAAAAGCTCTATTTCCGGTTGAAGATTGCACGACGAAAAAAGGATTATTGCTTACACAGTGAAATTATCTCCACAACTTTATTTAGATACTGTCATACAGGTAAAGATACGTTGGCAATTTATTTTTAAGTTAGTTTAGATTTTTTTGATATTGACGTTTTAATTGATAGCTGAAATAATGCTCATAACATTGAAGTTGGTAAAGACGCACATGATCTCCGCCGGTCAACTCACTGGGCCATTTACAAGATCAAAAATGGTGATTATGCAACGGCGTGAACAGTCAGCAGGCAATATTTAAATTTTTAATTTCTAGAGCTCTAATTTAAAGGCATCCAGAGCCGGGTGAGAGACAATGTTTGGATGAAAAGGGGCACTAATAATAATATTGTGCGACTTCCAGTCGCTTGGTATGTTTATGTACCTAGCGACTGAAAGTCTAAACAAGATCAATATTGTTAGTAGTTGCATAATATACTAATGTATATGCATGAACTCCTAAAGAACCATGATTATTCAGGCACGCCAAACGGACTTCATAGTCTTAGACTTCTCGAAAGCCTTCGACACCGTGCCCCACAGAGAGATGCTTTTCAAGATGAGGAATTACGGTATTGATGGATCCCGGACCTGTCCATCAATGGCTGACATCCTTTTTGTGTGACTGTGACATGAGAGTAGTCGTTGATGGTGAACACTCTCAGAGATCATCAGTATTATCCGGAGTTCCGCAGGGAACAGAACTTGGCCCCCTGCTTTTTCTCTGCCATATAAACGATCTACCTGATTCAGTATCCTCACAAGTACGTCTATTTGCAGACGACCGCCTCCTTTACTGGAAGATAAGAACACCCCGGGACACCACCAAATTACAAGAAGATCTCATTAAATTGGAAAAATGGGCTGAAGCATGGGGGATGTCATTTAATGCTAAGAAGTGTACCGTTCTGCATATAGACCGCAAGAAACCTCAGTTTTGCAAACTAGGTGAATTTAACACATCTTACAACAGACTTCCGAAAGACCTTACCTTGGTATCACCATATCTGATAATCTGAAATGGAACTCCAACATCAACAAAACCGTCAACAAAGCGAATTGCTCGCTCGGTTTTATCACCAGACCCCTCAAACGTTGCCCAACTGAATGTCGTAGAACAGCCTACTTGTGCCTTGTTAGGTCCATCCTTGAGTACGGATCAGTTGTCTGGGACCCCTACGTACATCAAGACATAAACAGACTCGAGCAAGTGCAAAGGAGGGCAGCAAGGTTTATCTCCGGAGACTTTCATTCACGAGAAGAAGGATGCATGACCAAAATGTTAAGAGACGCAGGCCTGTCCCCACTAGCAGAAGGACGTCGTTTGCTTCGCCTGTTTATGTTCTATATAGTGGTCGAGGGTGTGGTGCCACCTTACCTTCGCATTAGTTCCTGACACCAGTTGCCGGAAATTAACGTAAAATTCGTCTGCAGGATTTTAGTGACTATCATTATAATAATACTGTTGAAAATTACACCTATAATAAAGTTCTCTTAAATGTTTCAAAGCCCAGAACTGTAAAACAGAACAATTTAAAAACTCAATAACACTCCTATTGACTGGAAACATCTGACCGATTTCCCCATGCATAGTACCACGGTGGAGAGTTTCAAAGGAACCCTCCCCCTTCAGAACTACTAGATTACCTTGCACTCCTCCACCGACGGGATACATGTCCTGAGGGACCCTGCGCCGTATAACTACAGATACAGAATGTTTAGTGAACAACTATGTCTATTGCTGTTGTAGTAGTGTTATCACTTCATTTGGGTATTCAGTCCCAAAAGATTATATACCGATTATGCTATCGATCGGATTACTACTTCCAATTATCAATTTAAGGATTATGATTTTAAACCAATTTCAGCACATCACTGCTAGTAGGCTCTAAATCATACCAAATGCTTATGTATCACTTGTTAGGTCTACATATAGTGTGATCATATGGGACCCCTACTTAAAATCAGACATCTTAAAACTGGAATGGATCCAGAAGGGAGCAGCAGGTTTCATCTGTGGGGCGAACAAGTCCAGGGAAAGAGAACAGACAGCTTCTTTGTACAAACAATTAGGGAATGTAAATCAACTAGAGATTGGACCACCAAGTAGCTGCAGTCTCTCTCATCCATCGGGTTAATGCCAGGAATTAGATTCCAGCGATGTATCTTTTCAGATTCAGATACAAGGAAATGTATTGGTTACATCAATCAAGAAAAAGGCATTGGATCCGGAGTTATTGATTTCTCACATTCTGAGGACCATATACTAGAAGCAAAATGGTAGAATTGGCCAACTCAGTGCTTGATGTCATGCTGTATGCTTGAATGTTGACTTTAAATGGCACCACCATCTTTGGATACCATCTTCCTTAGCGTTGTGAAGACAAAACCATTTGGAATAGGTTAGATCAATATAATCACCATACCATGTAAAGTACAGACAAGTTAGAAAGTGTACGATGTCGCCACACAACACAGTATATCTACTCGCCACACAACACAGTATATCTACGAGGGATGGATGACGTAGAATATTCAGAGAAAGAATAAGGAAATTACAACTATCTACCTAATACAGAAGAGTTTGAGGGGAATCAATTGAGATGTACAAATGTATAAGATAGGGAACAGAATTTATTTTTGAAAGGCCTTTAACTTTGTTAAGCTTTGTACTGATGAAACCTTGTAGACCATACCAGGTAGCAGAAAAGTAAACTCAAAGAAAGTGATAATTGAAATGACCCATAGATTTGGTTGATAAACAGTATTATTTGAGACCACTTCATAATGTTATTTGCATTTTCATTTGAATTTAGTCGCAGTATGGCTGTGCGGACATATCAAGAGGAGCTGGGGTTCTTAGAGAAGATGGATGCTAATACATGGCGCATAAAGAAAGGCTTTGTACCCAATATGAAGGTGAGATATGTTCTAAATAGTAATTTTTGTGTTTTGGGTCTGCATGCAGGTATCCATCAACAATACATTTAGACTAATTTCAAATTTAATGCACAGTGATTCCAGTAATGATGATAGGTTGCTGTTTTTAATTAGACATTAGCTCATTCTCAGAAAGCAACAAAAACATTGTGTTCCAGCTCTAGAAGTCCAAAATAAACAAAATGTTATAGTAATCAAACTTACATAGTATTTACAAAGTTTTTTTGTTCTAATAAAATGCTAATACAAGATGTATATAAATAACTCAATTATCGCTCTGGTTTTATTTTCAGGTTGAGGGAATCTTTTATGCAAATGAATCCTTAGAAAAGCTTATGTTTGATGAATTGAAACAATCCTGTCGTTCACAAGGCTATGGAGGATTTCTACCTGGAATGAAACAGATTGGCAATGTAGCGGCTCTGCCTGGAATTGTTGGGGTACTGTATATATACTTACAAGTGTCTCATAATTTCCATACTTATTTACTTACACCTGAACTTTTAACCCATTGTCATAAACTATTTTCAAAATGCAATGTAACCATTACAGTTTACTACAGTTTCAGACTGTTCATTTTTTCTTAAGATGTCAATTGCAAGGCAAAAGAAACAAAAAATAAAATATTTCCATCATCTGATATTATCAATGAAATGGTTTAGGTTAGGTGTTTATTGCAAAATGATGTCTTTTTTATTTACCTTCAGAAATCCATAGGTCTACCTGATGTCCACTCTGGTTATGGATTTGCAATAGGTAAGGAAGTCACATCTACTACAGGGCTGTACATGTACAATACTGACCTTTTGGTGAATCGGGGAAATTTTACTTGTCTGACCAAAACTTTTATAGTAATACACTTTTTCCTACAGGTCCTTACAAAGTGCCATAACATCAGCCATTCAAAACTGAGGTCCAAAGTAAATAATTTGTTTGTCTACAAATAAGAGTATTTGAGAGTCGACAATATAATTATTGTTTTCTTTTTGCTGATTTTGATACAAAAATTGGTTTACACATGTAGCCATTGCTTATATAAACCTATAGCTATTAGCCCCTGGCATTGGGAAAGAAGAATTGTACATCGCCAAGTTGATAATGTCAGTCACTATTCATAACATCGCTTATAGAAGTCCTGATGATGCTGAAGTTGTAAGTTTATGCATTAAATAGAAGATTCAAATTTTTATCGATTTGAACTTCAAAGTGGAATCTAGGATAATCCAGTTTAATATTGACAAAGCTGATTACATTGCAGGTTTTGAAATACACGTACATCCTATTTACAAATTACTGTATTAAACTTCATGTATTTTACTTCAAATTTAATGTAATTGTGTTAAAAATCTAGGGACACTATTAAGTGCTAGCGATAGCTATAATGGCTGAGCCAACCAGACACTATACCGTTTCCTGAAATATTTGTGTCTGCTTACCAAAGGCTTAAGCAAATGTTTATTTCTCCCAAATATCATTAACAACAATGTACTTTATGCTTTTCATTCATCTTGAACTTACTGTCACATTCAAGGACAAGACAAATTGGAAAAAAGGGACATTCTTTTCCAGTTATAAACCTTAGAACCATAATAAATATCATGGATAAAAACACACAAAATGTGGCAACAATATGATTTTAAAATAAATTAAAACACATTTCATCAGGTAATATGGCAGCATTTGACATGGGAAATCCTGAGGCAGTTGTCTCCCCTGGAGGTGTAGGTTTTGACATCAATTGCGGAGTCCGGCTGCTACGGACAAACCTGATGGAGGAGGATGTCCAACCGGTCAAGGAGCAGCTTGCCCAGTGTATTTTTGACCATATACCAGTGGGTGTTGGCTCTAAGGGCATCATTCCCATGACAGCACAGTAAGACCCACCATTGTGTTTACATGTAGGATTATATCATTAGTTGGTAAAGCTCTCTATATGAAGTAGTATATATAGATCCACTGACATAGGGTTACAGATACATAAATTCTACTTCCTTAAAAAACTCTGATTTTAAGTTTTTATAAAAATAAGTTAAACATTTGAAAGTGAAGTGTTACTTTTTTTAAGAAAGGGTTTATGGTACTATACATGTTTGACATTTTTGCTTTACATATCATCAACTAATTTAAATACACTGCACACATAAAGGTCAAAGCAATATAATGTGTATTGTAAGTTAGAAATTTGGCACATAACTGTATTTTATTTCTGATGACACTTGGGGTCAACTGGCTTTAAAACATCTCTTTGTGACCTGAGATCCCTCTAGTTTTGGAATGATGTTCAAAATCTTTTGATGTGTCCTAGTTTTGTTTGTCATATATCAATTTTGGATGTGTTTGAGTTTTATCAGTCACCTATAAATCTTTGATGTGTCTTACAACTCTGATCAGGTGATATACATGTATGGATGATCATAAAACTATTGTTATACCCTTCCCTGTAATTGTTGATTTGTGATTTTTATCAGGAACTTGGAGGAAGCATTAGAAATGGGAATGGACTGGTCACTGCGAGAAGGTATGTACAATAAAAATTTAAGGAAGAATTTAAAATTCAGTCAGTTCAGGCATCTTTATGTATGGAATGTAATTTTATCTTTGCTAGGAAGAATTTATAAAACATTCACTGTCTGAGTGGGTTATCTTAAATAATGCATTGATACATATACTTATATTTACCCATATTGTCAATATATATCTATTGTACCATATCAACAAACAAAAGGAAGACAAAAAGACAAGTGAAAGACACCGTGCAGACAGTACAGTGTTACATTAATAAGTTTATCTTGATCAGCAGACATGGCGGACAGGCCTATTCCTACAGCTCCACTGAAGGGGATCAGGATAACTCAACACAGTGTTGCAAATGACCGTGTTGTTTTATCATATTGACCAAAGCTGCCACAGTTACAATTAAAAATGTTCTGTACTGTGTATAAACTTTGTTTTCAGTCACATTTATAAAAACAAAAATTGAAGTTTCCATATGTACTGAAAATAGAAAATTAAATGCATCCGTAAATATTTCAAAATTGTATTAAAGGAAGTTCTGTGCTACTATGTATTACATTAACACAAAATGTTTGCGATTGTCTCCCTTCCTTTATTAAAATTATTTATTGACTCAACATCTCTGCAAATTTCCTCTTTTTTTACAGAGCATAACCTTAAAAACTATGGATGCCAGCCAGTACAGATCATTTGAGTTTTTTCTGTATCTGTTAATTACTAGAAGCTACCTAAATATTATCATATAAGTTATCTTGTTTTAAATTAATATCAACCAAACAAACAAAAGTTTAATAAATGTCCATTGATTTCACAGGATATGCCTGGGCTGAAGACAAAGAACACTGCGAGGAATATGGACGTATGCTACAGGCAGACCCAAACAAAGTCAGTGCTCGGGCCAAGAAAAGAGGTCTGCCACAGGTAAGTTTTATGTTACAGGCATATCCAAACAAAGTCGGTGCTCGGGCCAAGTAAAGAGGTTTGTCTCGGGTAGGTTTATGTTACACACAGACCCAAACAAAGTCAGTGCTCAGGCCAAGAAAAGAGGTCTGCCACAGGTAAGTTTTATGTTACAGGCATATCCAAACAAAGTCAGTGCTCGGGCCAAGTAAAGAGGTTTGTCTCAGGTAGGTTTATGTTACACACAGACCCCAACAAAGTCTGTGTTCGGGCCAGGAAAAGGGGTTTGTCTCTCGTTGATAATATTGGCTACTTTCAATCCTCCACATGCGTATAGTTCCAGCCATAAATGAAGTAAAATTGATTTTACTTGTAGCTTGGAACACTCGGAGCTGGGAACCATTATGCTGAAATACAAGTAGTGGATGAAATTTACAATGAAGCCGCAGCCAAGAAAATGGGCATTGAGTGCAAAGGTCAAGTTTGTATGATGATCCATTGTGGAAGTCGAGGACTTGGGCATCAGGTAGCAACAGGTATGTGTTGTTAGTGTCACGTATCTCACTGTTATGAGTGGTCAATGTTTTCACTATCATTTGTTGTTGTTAACTTTGTCAAAATGGTTTAGTTATATAGCTTCAGATTTATTAGAATTTATCTATCTGATTTACGAAAAGGAAAAATGGACCATCTGAAAGTAGAAATCTGAATCGAAAGCGAATATTTAAAAAAAACATAAGATTAATTTTTAAAGTATATAAAATATTATAGTATTACAAAAATGAAAAGTGCAATGTGAAAAAATTAAATGTTTAAGCTGTTTATTTTAATCAATGTTTAACATATGTATCCAAATAGATGCCCTTGTTGCCATGGAGAAGGCTATGAAGCGTGACAAGATAGATGTGAATGATCGACAGTTGGCCTGTGCTAGGATTAACTCGGCAGAAGGACAGGATTATCTCAAGGGAATGGCGGGGGCTGCCAACTACGCATGGGTCAACCGCTCCAGTATGACCTTTCTCTCCCGACAGGTAAGTCATGGTCAAAATCACATTTTTTTTATGTCCTTCCTGTCCCGTCAGGTAAGTCGAGGTCAAAATCACTTTCATTATGTCCTTCCTGTCGCGACAGGTAAGTGGAGGTCAAAATCACTTTCATTATGTTCTTACTGTCCCGACAGGTAAGTTTAGATCATCCTCATGCTCACACTCCGATATGCCCTTCCTGTCCCAACAGCTAAGTCGAGGTCAAAATCACTTTCATTATGTTCTTACTGTCCCGACAGGTAAGTTTAGATCATCCTCCTGCTCACACTCAGATATGTCCTTTCTGTCCCGACAGGTAAGTTTAGATTATCCTCATGATCTCACTCCGATATGTCCTTCCTGTCCCGACAGTTAAGTTTAGATCATCCTCATGCTCACACCGATATGTCCTTCCTGTCCCGACAGGAAAGTTTAGATCATCCTCATGCTCACACTCCGATATGTCCTCCCTGTCCCGACAGGTAAGTTTAGATCATCATCATGCTCACGCTCCGATATGCCCTTCCTGTCCCAACAGGTAAGTCGAGGTAAAAATCACTTTCATTATGTCCTTCCTGTCGCGACAGGAAAGTGGAGGTCAAAATCACTTTCATTATGTTCTTACTGTCCCGACATGTAAGTTTAGATCATCCTCATGCTCACACTCAGATATGTCCTTCCTGTCCCGACAGGTAAGGTTAGATCACCCTCATGCTCAAACTCCGATATGTCCTTCCTGTCCCGACAGTTAAGTTTAGATCATCCTCATGCTCACACCGATATGTCCTTCCTGTCCCGACAGGAAAGTTTAGATCATCCTCATGCTCACACTCAGATACGTCCTTCCTGTCCCGACAGGTAAGTTTAGAACATCCTCATGCTCACACTCCGATATGTCCTCCCTGTCCCGACAGGTAAGTTTAGATCATCATCATGCTCACGCTCCGATATGCCCTTCCTGTCCCAACAGGTAAGTCGAGGTAAAAATCACTTTCATTATGTCCTTCCTGTCCCGTCAGGTAAGTGGAGGTCAAAATCACTTTCATTATGTTCTTACTGTCCCGACATGTAAGTTTAGATCATCCTCATGCTCACACCGATATGTCCTTCCTGTCCCGACAGGAAAGTTTAGATCATCCTCATGCTCACACTCCGAGATGTCCTTCCTGTCCCGACAGGTAAGTCAAGGTCAAAATCACTTTCATAATGTCCTTCCTGTCCCGACAGGTAAGTTTATATCATCCTCATGCTCACACTCAGATATGTCCTTCCAGTCCCGACAGGTAAGTCTAGATCATCATCATGCTCACACTCCGATATGCCCTTCCTGTCCCAACAGGTAAGTCGAGGTAAAAATCACTTTCATTATGTCCTTCCTGTCGCGACAGGAAAGTGGAGGTCAAAATCACTTTCATTATGTTCTTACTGTCCCGACAGGTAAGTTTAGATCATCATCATGCTCACGCTCCGATATGCCCTTCCTGTCCCAACAGGTAATTCGAGGTCAAAATCACTTTCATTATGTCCTTCCTGTCGCGACAGGTAAGTGGAGGTCAAAATCACTTTCATTATGTCCTTCCTGTCCCGACCGGTAAGTTTAGATCATCCTCATGCTCACATCGATATGTCCTTCCTGTCCAGACAGGTAAGTTTAGATCATCCTCATGCTCAAACTGATATGTCCTTCCTGTCCCGACAGGTAAGGCAAGGTCAAAATCACTTTCATTATGTCCTTCCTGTCGCGACAGGAAAGTGGAGGTCAAAATCACTTTCATTATGTTCTTACTGTCCCGACCGGTAAGTTTAGATCATCCTCATGCTCACACTGATATGTCTTTCCTGTCCCGACAGGTAAGTTTAGATCATCCTTATGCTCACACTCCGATATGTCCTTCCTGTCCCGACAGGTAAGTCAGAATCAACCACACCCTTTAGTATCACCACCTACTTCTCCAGACATGTAAGTCTAGGTCAACATCACACTCCAGTATGACCTTCCACTCCAGATGTTCAAGTGCAGGTGCACCAAAAGATTTAGTATGACTTCAAATAGTGTAGGATGTATATTGATGACCTTTTACTCAATTTATAAAGAAATTATTGGATACTTCATAAAGGAATTTTCCCAAGCACTTTATGAAAAAAACAAAACATTTCGAAACATTATAAATTATATTTATTTCAGTCAAAATATATAAATTATCAATAATGGTAGAAATACAGTGTATTTCAATTCAGTGACATTTCATAATTATATGACAAATAAAATATTAAAGTATATAGCTTACACTTGATCTAGACATAATTTTATACAAAATGCATTTTAATATTAATCTTAACTCATTCACCCCTGAAGACACATTTTAACTCTTCCAATTCAAAGGTTGGCATAGTTTATTATGAAAGTTCAGGGGTGAACAAGTTAAAGACATTTATTGTTTTTATGTATTTTTAGGCTTTCTCTAAAATGTTCAACACCTCACCAGATGACCTAGACATGCATGTGATATATGACGTGTCACACAACATAGCCAAAGTGGAGGAACACTTTTTGGATGGGAAGCAGAAGACGCTACTGGTACACAGGAAGGGTTCGACACGTGCTTTCCCACCTCATCATCCCCTCATCCCTGTGGACTACCAGGTAAGTCTTACATAACACACTGCTGATACATGTGTCATCCTTGTAAAACACTGGTTGGGTGGTGCAGGGGATAGTGCACTTGCCTTCCACCAAGGCGGCCGGGGTTGGATTCCCTGATCGGATATGGATTCCCTGATCGGATATGAAAAGGTATGGGGTCACCTGCCCGGCCATGTGGGTTTTCTCTGGGCACTCCGTTTTCCACCTACATTAAGACCCTCCATGCGCTAACATTCAGGCTAACAAGAGTAATTAATATAAGTTGAAATAACTTGTTTCATAATTGCTGGGGAGAAGTTTTCTTCAGCTCATTCATTTGAAATCCAGGCTAATGAACCAGAGGTTATGGGTTGGACGCCAAGCTGATGCATTGAAAAAATAATTGCTTCTGTTACAATGGTCACCAACTAGATATACTCACTAAAGATGGTATAGGGTGTCTTGTGTCTTTGTGGTGAAAGTTTTATTGAAGGTAAGAGGAATGTCGTAGAATGGGATGGGGTAAACACTGGTGTTATTGTAGTTCATTTGGTTAGATCATTCGTCTACAGTTTGGAGGTTTCAGGTTCCGATATTAGTCTGGCTGTTGCATTTTGTCCTTTCCTGTTACACATTGGAAGTTCATCTCGCAGGAACATTTGATATGAACTTCATATTATTCATTCTCTGTAATTTATGTTCTCATGTGCAATGCTGTTGAATAAGTACCATGGATATTTGTAAAGCTGATGGTTTTTTTTAGTTGACAGGCCAGCCTGTTTTGATCGGAGGTACCATGGGGACCTGTAGCTATGTACTGACAGGTACAGAGCAGGGTATGGTGGAAACTTTCGGAACAACTTGTCATGGCGCGGTGAGTAAATTATTTGGACAATTTAAGCAAGTTTATGATATAGGCAGTTTATGTCATAATGAATACAGATATACTTTAAAATGCTCTCTTTAATGTTTCTTTTTCAAATAACTTTTTAGATTATTATACATTCTGAAATTTATAAATTTGCTGGAAACCATTCAACTCACTCTGCATCTTGTGTTGTGACCATATCTTTGTGGTAAATGTGTGGAAAACAAATGTTAACCAATTGTTGCTGCTTGTGTCGTTTTTGTCTTGTCGCCACAAAGTAGCGGAGCGAGACTAAGGTGGTGCTTTTCGGGCGGTGGTGTTCAACATTACGTTTTTGCGTTTAAGTTAGTTTGACTGAAAGTATATTAAGTGTTACATCAACCAAACTTGGACCATAGATGCATCTTAGGTAGTACATCTCAACACATACATCAAATGCTGGATGCAGTTTACCTTTCATGGTCCATTGACTTTGTCAGCATCTCAATTAACATTGTTTTTGCTATTAAGTTAATTTCTCTGATATGTTCATTGACGGTAAAAGCGGAGCACAGGCAAGACATATCAATCTGAATGGCTTGTCTTTATTCTGATGGTTTTTCTTCTTATTTGTTTCTTATAAAGGGTCGGGCTTTATCTCGTGCTAAGTCCCGACGTAATCTGGATTACACAGATGTCCTAAATTCCCTGGCGGAGAAGGGAATCAGTATCCGAGTGGCCTCCCCAAAACTTGTCATGGAAGAGGTAAGAACTGCTGGGGTCAATAGGCATTATACCAACCTCAAACTTCATACAACTTTCCTTGTCGCTAATAAAATGAAAATCAAATTTAATAAAACTTGTCATTTTCAGAGAAAATTTAAGGTATCCTTAAAAATTGATGCAGATTTTCTGAGTAACGAAAAAAAGTATCCTAATCAATTGCTAACTTGATGTTCCACTTTTATACCATCATGTGTATGTGCATGTGTATATGCTTGGGGGGGTGGGGGTGGGGGGTGGTAAAAAGATGTTTTTTGTATGTCTGGGGGCTTTAATCTATGACCTTAAAGGTCAATCGGCCCGTGCACTTAAAACATTCAGATTTCTTCATACTCTTTACTAAGAATGCATGAAAATGATATACAGGTACTTACCAGAATATGATCTGTTATGGTCTCAAATGTCAATGAGCTATGCCATGGATTGAGTTAGACTTGAATTCTGTTTCACAATTAATTTGTTTGCATAAAACATGTATATAAAACATAAATGTTTTTTCTATTCTCTAACAGGCTCCACAATCCTACAAAAATGTTACAGATGTTGTTGATACATGTAAGTTCATCAGCTTTGCCAATTTCTCATTCTTTGTTAAATATTAACCTACTGTAGGAAGATAAAATGTCTCAAATCAATTTTGAAATTAATATAAGCCAATTAATTTGTTTAGAAATGTTGATTTGTATTTATTTTGAATTGATTCAATAGAAATTATTAATTTTGCAGGTCATCGGGCTGGCATCAGCCAAAAGTGTATAAAACTGCGTCCAATAGCTGTGATAAAAGGCTGAAATTTTCCCATGGTGACTGAAATAATATGGACAGTAGACACTTGCTACAGAAGTCTCAGAAAATCAGAAAGTTATTCCCTTAACGAATCCCTAGTGCACCAGTGGTTTCTCCAGAAGACTCTGAAATCACCTGACAAGTTATTCCCATAATGCAGCCCTAGTGCTTCAGTGGTTTCTCCAGAAGACTCTGAAATCACCTGACAAGTTATTCCCATAATGCAGCCCTAGTGCTTCAGTGGTTTCTCCAGAAGACTCAGTATGTGACCTGATATGTTACTACTCATTGGAGCCCTAGTATGCAAACCGTGTCTGTTAATCTATATTGATAAACAAATGCAACAAAAATGTTGTAATGTGTGGTATAATATATTTCTCTGCACATCTTCAGGTGTATTTGATATACATAAACCATGATAGTACATTTTATTTCTGTCGTACGTTAAGTCATGAAGATGGGGTTTTATTCTACATTTATGCATTTCTATATTTATTTGGAAAAAAGAAATGGGTTTCTATTTGTTGCTGTTTGTTTGTTCTGTTGCATACTTCTTATTTAAGGTGAATGGTATTTTAATTTGAAAATTGTTGCTCATAAAAACTCTCGCAATGGTAGATATGAGGAGGGTGTATGGAGTGTGTGTATTGAATGTTCTTTTTACACATGTATCCTTATTTTTACCCTCGACAAGTTAACGAAATTGTCATCTTAACCTATTTAATTGAAAGCTTGTAATCCCATTAGATTCATACTCTTCAGTATCTCTAGCTTATAGAAAATCTTCTCTCTGCCTGTTTAATAGTATATACATGTACATGTCATGTCATTGAAAGTATATATTGTTTTTGCATTATCAATTTAAATTGTATGATTAGGTCATTATCATGTTTATAGCAATTGCTTGGACTCATGCTTTCCCTGTGGAACCCCATTTATAGGGCTGTAACGATACACCTATGTCACGATACGATACGTATCACGATATCTTCCCACGATACGATAAATTTTGATACGATACAGGATGCCGAAATGTTATGCTTCCTCTTCAAATGCGTCGCCATGTTTGATGTGTTCCCCGACTTGTAACTTAAAGCTACGAAATATATGCGGCAAGTGGAGAGTGCTGCTACATTGATTGTACATTATGTAAAGGGACACCACTGCTGAATTAATTATTAGCTCCCCTGGCACGAAGTGCCAAGTGAGCTTATGCCGTGGCGCAGCGTCCGTCCGTCGTCCGGTGTGAATATTTTACTTTAAACGACTTCTTCTTAATAACCGAAAGGCCTAGGGTGTTGATATTTGGTCAGAAGCAAACTGGGATGAAGGGCTACAATGTTTGTTAAAATTAATGACTTTCACCCATTTTCAAGGTCACAGGGGTCAAATATGTTAAAAACTTTAAACATCTTCTTCTCGATAACCAAACTGCCCAGGGAGATGATATTTAACCAGTAGCATGCTTGGGTGAAGGGCTACAAATTTTGTTCAAATGAATGACCTTCACTCATATTCAAGGTCACAGGGGTCAAATATGTTAAAAACTTTAAACAACTTCTTCTCAATAACCAAAATGCCCAGGGTGATGATATTTGGCCAGATGCATGCTGAGATGAAGGGCTACAAAGGTTGTACAAATGAATGACCTTCTCCCATATTCAAGGTCACAGGGGTCAAATATGTTAAAAACTTTTAAACAACTTCTTCTCAAAAACCAAAATGCCCAGGGTGATGATATTTGGGCAGATGCATGCTGAGATGAAGGGCTACAAAGGTTGTCCAAATGAATGACCTTCTCTCATATTCAAGGTCACAGGGGTCAAATATGTTAATAACTTTTAAACAACTTCTTCTCAAAAACCAAAATGCCCAGGGTAATGATATTTGGCCAGATGCATGCTGAGATGAAGGGCTACAAAGTTTGTTCAAATAAATGACCTTCACCCATATTCAAGGTCACAGGGGTCAAATTTGTTTAAAATCTTTAAACGACCTCTTCTGAATAACCATGGGTCCCAGGATGTCGATACTTTGCAAGTTGCATCCTGAGATGAAAGGCTATAAAATTTGTTCAACATAATGACTTTGTTCGACTTTCAATCACAGGGGTGAAATGTTTTAAAAAAAATTCACAGGGTCTTTTTAATGAATTTTAATCATAAATACTGATATTTTGCCTGTAGCTTTATTTTAGATCACTTTTAAGGTTACAAGTGTGAGATTTATACCAGGTGAGCGATGCAGGCCCATTGGGACTCTTGTTGAAATATAAATTAATTTACTTGATATTTCAAATGTGCATAACTTGAAATATATATGTTATGTGTGAATGAAAGTTATATGAAAATTGTTCGTTATTGTCTCTAGTTTACATTAACGTTTTCAATTCTAAAGTGCTTCAGTGTTTACCTGTACAGGTGAAACTTTTAATTAATCGGATTTAAGCACCATAAAGATAATTTTAAAATTATTTTTGTCAGCAAATGTGACTGGCAAATGATAACAGAGATTCTAAATTTCATTTATGACATAAGACGCTGTACATTTACACGGAGATTATCAGGTAAAAAGGTCAGGTATTTTATCAAGAATTGCATGTGTTTTGCTACAGGTTTCAAGTCGTCATTCAATATATTTACTGTCACAGTCGGCATATAGATATATATTAGCTACGGTCTAGTTTATGATTAAATCATCGATATATAGTTTGAAGAAATCAATCGGCTCAAAACGTATCAATGTCAATGTTTAAATCGGCCTCACCTGCAGACGACATGTGCACCTCGGTCCGCCGATATGTTTCTGTTTGCGTAGGGCACAAAATTAAAGCCGTTCATTGGAAAATTACATATTATGTTACACCGTAGTATTTCCTCATCACCGGTGACAAACCCTTCAAAACCTTTATTATCATCGTAGGTGACGCTGGAGAATAAATGTTTACGTTACACACGTGTGGTTAAATTCCGGAAGTCATGTAATACTAAAAACCGAACCGAACCGAAACACGGAAAAATATACCGTAAACCGAACCGAAGCAATTTAGCGCGGTTTTCGGTGCACCGCGGTGTATCGTTACAGCCCTACCCATTTATGTCATAGAACAGGATGTGCAGGACTCGCCAGAGGAAAAATATACAAAAACCACTGATGTTAATTTATTTCAAGAAGTGCTTCACTTAAAGAGTTCATGTTTTGTTGAATACAAATCGCTTGCAATGCTTTGTATTGAAGACTTGTAATTTTTTTGAACAGCATCAAAATATAACTATAGATATATAATCTTGAAAATGCGTACCATTTTACGGTACAACATACCATATTTGGAAGATGTTGCAGAATATGTTTGATATTTATTTGAAGCCATGACATATGGAAAGGTCATCTGTTTATAAGTCAGATATTTAACTGAAACTTTAATAAATTTATTATTGAAAGTATATTGTCGCACAAAAGTACAAGCAACAATGTCATGTTTTTTGTGTCTTCTTGCAGATATACTGAAAACTTGATCTGAAAATTGTTTTGCATGTTTGTTTTATTGTTGCATTTACCGATATAAATGTACTAGTTATACTTGTACACTATTCACTATACATCCCTGACTTATATAAATGTAATAGTTCTATGTTCCGTCTTCAGAGCACTCTGGCTGTACCAAAGATATTAAATTCTTTTTGAAAAAAGAAATACCGGTAAGCTGTATGTTAAAAATACTAAGTGCGTTTGTGGACTTGCATATACATGTAATTGTATGCTAAAATGTTTGACAGTTTATTTGTGACACTTATTCTGATATGTTACTGTAACTAGTTTGTATTATCTTTATTATTCTTACAATAGAGTGGTTGTCATGTGTCTAAATAGAGGATGTGATCTTCAAACTGTTCAAAGATGAGCATCTTTTACAAGTTGAAAATTTACTAACCATATTGATCGAGATGATCATAATAACAAACCATCGTCTGTTAACCTGTGAAAATAATGCTTTCAGCAGTAGTACCAATAGTGGTTAAAGGTTGACCTTGGTATACAGAAACCCCTCTTTGTTTTGTACCAATTATTACATGTACTTATCATTGGTACTAATTTGCAAGTTTGTATGAGAAAGCAGCTAGTCTACCTCATAACAGACATATATTAGCTAGCCAGGATATAGCTCGCAGTCTGTTAAGCACATATATGTTCCTATTCTATTAATCGACCTTGATTTCCATGTCAAGCAAATCTTACATCTGCGTCCCTCTCAGGACTGATCGTATAAAATCTGCGTCCCTCTCAGGACTGATTGTATAAAATCTACGTCCCTAACAGGACTGATCGTATAAAATCTGCGTCCCTCTCAGGACTGATCGTATAAAATCTACGTCCCTAACAGGACTGATCGTATAAAATCTACGTCCCTAACAGGACTGATCGTATAAAATCTACGTCCCTAACAGGACTGATCGTATATATATCTATACGTCACTTACAGGACTGATCATGATCCACGTCCCTAACAGGACTGATCATATAGTATCCACGTCCCTAACAGGATTGATACTATAGTATCTACGATACGTCCCTTACAGGACTGATCATATATTATTTTTACGTCTCTAACAGGATTTACCCTATAGTTTCTACGTCCTTAATAAGACTAGTCCTATAGTATATATGTCCCTAACAGGACTAGTTCTATATTATCTACATCCCTAACAGGATTGATTCTATAGTATCTACATCACTAACAGGACTGATTCTATAGTATCTACATCCCTAACAGGACTGGTCCTATAGTATCAACGTCCCTAACGTTAATGGGACTGATTCTAGTATCTACAAATTGTGTTCCTATCGACAAGTTGGTATAGTTGGTGCTTTATTACGCAATTTTATCAAATGTGTATTGGTATGTATTAGTCTTGAGATACCAGATGCTATGAGAGGAAGTGAAATAAAAGAATTCAAAATATAATACTATGTTTCATTGTAAATGCCTTTCTTGTAGTATTGCATTGTCAGTCAATCTGCTGCACACATTTTTTTGTCAGGAGTATATTTTAACAGCTGATTAAACAGCCTCGGTCATGGTCTAAAAATGAGGTAAAAGATCGAAACAAACTCCTGAGCATTATGTCTTTATTATCTTGTCAAAAATTATTGAAATCCGAAATGAAAACAAAGCAAGTCTATATTTAACTCAATATCCATCCACACTCAACTATCATTCGACTAACCTCGGCTGATTCCGGTACCCTTCAGATGTTGGTACGGAATCTGACGGGATGTGACGAGTTGCTCAACTATCTACACGATAAGATATATGAAAAGTATTGAAATGTGGTGTGTCTTCAAACAAAGCGTCTATTAACATAAACTTTCTCAGCAACTCTATTAGATTTACTCGAAAAACGAACTTGTATTGCTTGATAAGCAAGGAATCCTACGTATACATTTTTCCATTTCTTCAAAAGACAAATTTCCAGCAGATCATGTTTTGTTATTACAATCTTTTCGAATACCACTTAAAGTTAAGGATAAGGACCTGCCTCGTTTGTATTAGATTCCTCACAACAACATTTTAATTACTAACTCTGCTAGATGCTCAAGCAAGTAATTATCCAAACAGTACCATTAAACCCCGGTTACAGTTGTATTTGAAATAAAGATTAGTGTATGGTTCTATTATGTATTTAGGCACAAAAAAGTAAGAGTTGTTGACATAATTAAGCCAATATATAACAAGGTCATAGTGTTCTACTTATCAACTATGTGCTACTTATTTCGGCCATTTTATTACTTTCAGCTTTAGTGTTACACAATACATCAAAATTATGAAAAAACTTTCAAAAAATAACATGTAGTTTTGTCAAAATGAGACCATTCGTGATTTTTGGTCCCCCACTTTACCTCCTCATATCCCGGAATGGTCTCCAAGCTGAACTTAATTTCATGTCATATCATGATGGCATAACCCAAACGTATGTACATTGTATATACAAAAATAATGAAACGTATCGGTGATAGCCACCAGAAGGCCAAAATTGGCACCCCTCCTTTCAATTACAGTAAATACTCGTTACGACAACAATCTCGGAGAGCTGTATCTGCTTAAATTCAATCTGAAACAGTTACCGATTAGGCCCTGATTGTTGATAGTATTGATATTATTTGCAGCGTGCATGTGTGATACAACGAATGTAGTCTTTGTATAAAGGTACAGCCA